CTCAGATTTTTTAAACATGTTCCAAAAAGCCTCAGAACAAGAGGAAGAAAGACTCTAAATAGTGCAATCACCAAACATCTTCTTGATACAGGACATCAGATCGATACCCTGCAATCATTCAAGGTGATTAGTAAGCAGCCAAACTCCAGTATTCTGAAGTTTGCTGAAGTAGTTGCTATCAGGCGCCAAAATCCTGATTTATGTGTTCAAAAGGAGATGGTTATTAATCTTTCCCTGCCTTGGTGATTATTATTCCTTTGTTATATCTTAATATTTCTTCTTTGCTTTGAACTCTTTCTTTCATTTATCACACCATTGAGTTTTGTTCCAACCATCTTATTCTATCAACTGAACTCTACTCATTTTATTCCTATCAATGTTTATTTGTTTCTAACCGTTTGAACTGTTGTCACAATGTTCCTTCATCACATAAGGTATATATTTACAATATTCAGTCTATTAAATTTATTTACACCCTTGCTATACTATACGAATATGTCTTCAATATAACGTCCAATCAAACTCTTTCATGTAAGTGATTTAAACCCTTTATGTATGATTTTAAATATCACAGGTTGTAAGCAGCTGACGAGAACCAACGAAATAAAAATGAATTCATGCTATTCTGCTAGAATGTTTGTTCTTGCTCTTTTCAAAATGATAAAGGGAACTATGTGTATGAAATTTCCACAGGTGTTCAATCGCACACTCTTAACCGTTTTCCATAATATGATACCATGCTACTCAGTTTTCATTCAAATGTTCTCACTTGCTCTACAATGCAAGTGAATATGCATCGCACCCGTCGCCATTAAGCTACACATTTTTATACCATTCTTTAAGATGATGGAGATTGGTTGATTTGCTCAAAATCAAGCGTCAAAATTGCTCTAATTACGAAATGTGAAACGTCTGTTTATAAATATATTACGGCTTATAATCAAAATCGTCTTGCATCTGAAAATCAGCTTTGGAGAAAATATCTTCGCTCACTATCGCAAAGCTACTCCGTGAATTTCGCTCCAATATCATCATTAAAATGTATACTTTATACTGTAAACTAGTGCTATCTTCCTTTTTCATGATGATTTCATTACGTCAAACTGTGTACAGTAACTTCACTGTTATGAAACGATAATCGAACTATTGTGAAACAACTTACGCATCTCAATAATGGTCACACACGGTCTTCACTGCTGTGATTTGTAGCAGGTTTCAACTTCACTATATTATACATCAACAAATATATGTCGACCGATTTAAAATTGTTTTCACTAGTTTTATTCTGAGATATCTGTGGACCTACTGCCATAAGAAACGTGAACATTTACTTCGTCGGATGGATCATATCCACTGAAGCCTTTATATTCTGTCATGGAACAATTTCTAATCATAATATGAATGTGGAAATAGATGACCTGCCATAAAATGTTTTGTGTTTTTCATACATCACATAGAATAATTAAACAGAAAATTGGAAATAATTTTCACCGAATATCTATATGAGATATCCTATTCCATGTACAGATAACGATACTTTAAAATTCATGTTAATTTCTGTTATTTTTGTGAGTGATAACACACAAGTTTTGAACATTACACATGTGTGGATGTTTCGTGTTGTTGGTCAACCATTTGTTATTTGACATATTGCACAGATATATTTCAGTCTTCCTGTTTGAAATATAGTAGGAACGCTACTAAATTGATTATTCATGCTAGAAAGAAAATAAAATGAGATATGTATTGATTTAATCCTCAATAAACAGATTCGTTCTTCACGATAACAATGTTTCCACTCAATAACTCTTCCTGGAGTCCCTCAGGGGCTACTGCCGGTTCCATGCCCGGATGAAGGCGGAGGGTTGGGTATGGGGTTAACGACCCCATCCCGTAGAAAAGTGACTCGCTAAAGGACGCTAACTGGAAAAAAATCATTCAAATCATTTAAACTCTGCCCCGGGAGTCAGAAGGTTTTCATTTAAAAGAACTATGACGCCTCATGATGAAAGCTGAGTTCCTTCGGAAGTCACGTGGCCGATGACCCTTCTGACAACCAGATTAACCATTTATTTAGGTACATAGAATGTTCGTACAATGTGGGAGACCTGGGGAGTCTTCCGAATTGCTGCAGAAATGAGAAGATACAGCCTAGAGGTGCTTGGGATCAGTGAAACACATTGGATGCAATTGGACAACAGCGACTAGTGTCAGGGGAGCTTCTGCTATACTCCGGCCATGAAGAAGAAAATCCCCTTTAAGCAAGGATGGCAGGATAATCATCAACATTTATATTATTATTATTATTATTATTCACAAACATCTTATGGTACATAAGTGTTGTGAAGAAACCATTTCGGGTTTCTTCAAAAAATGCAGTAATACACAATTTTCAATAATGTTAGCATCATACTTTCTATAATTAAAAAGAATTTAGAGTAATAATAGTAGAGTTGTTAAACAGATCCAAGAAAACGTTTATTGCTGTGAAAGGAAGACAACGTGCATACATACATACAACAAATTCAAAAAAGTAACCTGCCGGATGTTAGGCTTAGGACAGATACTTCGAATAGAAAATGACACTTTTGTTGAGTAAGGATATAACAAAAGTTTGAGAAATGCAAATCATTAAACTTCCAGTTTGTAAAATGCACTTCAAGTATTTGTGGAGAGCGAAAGTCTGCTGTATTTTGTACACTCTGTCACACATATTAATACTGGTCTTTCAGTAAAATTTTTTGATTACGTTTGACAAAAAATTAATTGAATAAAACTCAGTATGACAACTAGTGAGAAGAACCTGATATAAACTCATACGATTTATGTTCTATGAATGCTGTCGTTTCAAAAATTTCAATTTCGTATCCTGATAAGGATATACTTACATTTATATAACATATCATGAGCGCATATTTTTTTAACTGACTATACATCACCAATGTGGGTGAGGAAGTCCATTACAGATGAAGAGGAATGGTGCTACATCAGAGCATAAATTGAAGTCGTACTTTGAGCTTAATGCAGAATCTGAATCACCATATCGTGATAATCAGGTATTATAGCTACTTTGATTAGTGTAAAAATAAATGTAACTCGACCACATTTATGTACTAAAAGAAAACACTAAAGATTATCGGCTAACTATATGCATTTACGAAGTACGTTTACGTATTCTTTGATTCTAACTGCACTGTGGTGGACTAAATTTATAAATTTTTACTATTTTTATTGTGAATTTAGCCTGGTCAACTTAATCCATCATACTCATATAGTCGAGCTTTTACCTCCATGTTGTATTAACTTGATTAGTCCACAATGGATATACGAGGTCGAGTGAAATACATATATGTATCGGTAGCACCATGCGATTAGTCATTGTCATTTATCATGAACTGAGTGCATCGGCTGAAATACCGAGTGAAAAGGTGGATTAATACTATGTAGTCGCCATCATACTTGATGGCAAAACTCTGTAAGATGTAGAATCCTTCACGTACTTGGGTAACATCATCGATTAACGTGAAGGATCTGATGCAGATGTAAATGTGAGGATTGACAAAACGAGGAAAGCATTCCTATAGTTGAACATATAGAACTGAAAACAACTATCAATCAATATCAAAGTCAGAATCTTCAGTACGAACGTCAAGACACTTTTACTGTAAGAAGCTGAAATGTGGAGAACTACTACAATAATCATCATGAATGTACAAGTATTTAAAAATAGTTGTCTACGCAAGATACTCAACATCTTTTGGTCGGATACCGTCAGTAACAACCTACTGTGGGAGAGAACAAACCAGCTTCCATCTGAAGAGGAAATCAGGAACAGACGATGGAATTAGATAGAACATACATTAAGGAAATCACCAAAATGCATCATGGAACAAGGCCTAACTTGGAGTCCTGAAGGAAGGCGGAAAAGAGGAAGGCCAAAGAACACATTACGTCGGGAAATAAAAGCAGATATGTAAAGCATGAATAACAACTGGAAGGGGCTGGAAAGGATTGCCCAGGACAGGGTTGGATGGAGAATGCTGGTGAGCGGCCTATGTTCCTTCACGAGGAGTAACAGGCATAAATAAGTAATTCTTAACTACTAAAATAAATTAATACTCGTCCAGTCAAAATCGTCTACTTGAATCTTTAAATAATCCATTTCAATAGTTAACATCCACTTTCATTAGCCTACAAAAAGGACTAATCTAAAGACAGTAATAAGTAACAAAGAAACAAACACTCTTTAAACATATTCATATTATTATTTGTTAACGGGACATAGACTGGATTAAAGTATGCTCAATGCACGATTGCTTTGTTGAACGCTGATTGGCTAATTCTTATCCAATCAGCGTTAGCCAATACTTAGTGAAGCTCTCTAGAAATCTTCTCATGTGAAAAACTATAAATATACTAACGTTTTCCCTATTGTGCTTCTTACTTCCATCTAACCTTGTTAGTTGGAATATAATCTCTTTTCCTATTCAACCGTGTTCTAATGTGGGGGGAACTTATCGAGTGAATCAGTGTCCGAGAATACTAAGCAATAGGAATAGCTGGGTTATAACCGTAAGAAAGAGATTATATTATTATTATTATTATTATTATTATTATTATTATTATTACATATTATAAATACAATCGTTTCATTATTATAAAGAATATTGAAATGATTTAAAAGTACATTTTATTTTACAATTTAGAAAATATCAAAACAATAACAACACCCTTCCTACACACACACACATACACACACGTACACAATTGCAATTTAATTTCCTTTTATCTACTTTACTTTATTCTGTACATTGAGTGATGATGATAATATTAATCATAATTCATAAGAAAAATGCTTAGCAACTTGAATATTAAAATAATACAAATTAGTAATAATAACAATGGTGGTGGTGGTGGGATTGAATTTCTAGTGTTACATAATGATTGAAATCATGCATATCTATCTAATCATATATCATCAGTAATTACAAGTGTACTAACATCATCATCATCATCATCCTCCTTCTCATCCTCATCAGTATCAACATCAGCATGAATACCATCACACTTATGTAGAGACATTTGAAGAGCAAACTGTAAAAACATGTATACACGACAGTAGATTCAGTGTGTGTGTGTGTGTGCATGTGTACTCATGTTTATGTAATGTAGGAATAGTAATAAATGATTCCAAAAAGAAAACAAAAAGAGAGAGAAAGAGATTGTTTTCACTTAATTACAATGAAGATGAATTATCCTGAGTACAAGTATGTAATTGAATGAATAAATGATGAAATGGATCATTTTATTTCATCAATAAGGTTTTGATAAAGATGACGGAGTTATTTCATGTGATGTTGTTAAATATCCACTATGTAAACTACCTGATGCTGGACCAGCTGTTAAATATGTTGTCATTGATTGTGGTACATTAGCAATAAATAAAGAATGACCTTGATCTCGATAATCTGCCCAATTAGGATATGTTTCAAGAATTGAAGTCACCTTTAAAAAAAAAAGACAAAAGGAGAGAAATATCAAGGAGATAAGTAGGATCAAGATGCTCTACAAGTGTTTGGAATTCGACAGCACTTTAACTAGTAACAACTCTTTTATAATCGAAACGTACTACTAATCCAGTGAAATCAGTAGCGAAGAGATTCGAAGATATAGTTGATAAGCTATCGATATGTCGAGAAGTGACTGATCTAAGCTGGTTAATGGTTGTAGGAGAGGTCGAGGATAGCGTACCCACTCGTGATCTGGTGTGGATGCATGATCGAGCACCTTCAGTTAGGTAAGTTCATTAAAACTATTCGATTAGCATCAAATGTCAAGGACTTATAGAACTATTGGTATCGGGGATTTATTTAAATTCTTCATCCAGAGCATTTTCGATTACTGAAATATAATTCACTAGTTGATACTTATCTAACTACAATTCAATTTATCATGTTTAGTATTGTGATCATCAATGTCATATATGATTTGTTTATTAAAATACAAATTGTGCTAATAAGGTTGTTGGTGAAACTTTAGAAACACTCTCGGAGAATCCAGAAGAAGTTGAAGAGGAAATACACTAAAGTATAAAGCTATTTTAAGTTGCATGAAACGATTCAATGAGGAGAATGAAAACCGTAGAAGTTATTAAAAGGAAACAACAAAGTTGAACTCGGTTATTGATAAAAAAAAAACGTAAAAGACCTCTTGTTATCATACACTTCGAATGATTGCTAGTGTAATGAATTCGGGGAAAATTTCCTGTGTACATCATTCTAACAAAATATTAAGGGTCGAGAATGTGACATTTCAAAAGTCGAACTCCTGGTGACTATCGGTGATCAATTGTACAGTGGAAACAGTCAGTCAGCTACAAAGTAGGACCAGACACATATATGTATTGGTCCAAGTTGCCATGCCTCATTAGCACAAGATGAACACGGGATTCATGGAAGTTATTAATCTAGTGGTTGTAAACATAAAAGAAAAGAAACGAGAGCGTTGAACTCTATTATTGATGAAGAAAGACGTAAAAGACCTCTCGTTTTTATACTGTCATAGGTGACGTAAGTTGGCAAAAGCCAAACGACCTTTCTGAATTCGTGCAGGAATTTCTTCAGACACCAACCCATTTGGGCTGATCAGACTTCCAAGATAAGTGCAGTTGTCAACGCGTTCAAATACTTCACTCCCTATCCTTAGTTCAGGTGTTGATGAAGGCCAGTCCTGAAGCAATAACTTGGATTTAGAAGGATAGAAACGCATCCCAAACATCCTGGCATTGTTGTTTAGTGCTACCAAGAGACTCTGCATCTTATCAGCGTCTTGACCGAACAGGACTATATCATCTGCGTATTCTAAGTCGATAATTGGATCTCTTGGAAGGAGATCAAAGCCCGAGAATTCAGTAGACGGAGATAGTAAAACCGAATTTTGCATAAATTGCCAGTAATTTGAAGTGGATAACATTGAAATATATACTCATAATTTTGTCAAATGGATCCCTTTTATCTTAACCATGATTCGTGCATTTATTAGACAGAGTGGTATATATACAGTTTGTTAAAATGTGTACATTATCACAATTACCTTAGCACCATATACAGCACTGTATTGCATAGCTTTTAATGCCTTTATGAGATAGGCTCGAGTTTGTCCGGGTTCTCGTACTGAAGATGGGAAACCATTTTGGAGCATACGTAATATAAAACCGATAAGATCATGTTTTAAAGCCTGAAAAATAGAGGAGAGAGAGAGAGAATGAACAACAAATAACCACAACAATATTATCAGTTAAGTTTACGATTGGTGACCACACATTTTAAATATCGACAATATATTTTCTCAACAGTGTTTTCGTCGCATAATGCATATGGTGAGGTAATGTAAAGTTTTTGTATTTCACCTTGTATGCTTGAAGTTTAATGTACTTCTGCCTTATTTTGTTAATCAGTCATCATCAACATAGAACCTGTGCGTTGACTCAAGAAGCCATGCCACATTAGCACAATGAGATTAGTCAAAGATATAGTAAAAGTTAGATGGAGTCATACCATTACATACCATCTTCAACAATGTAGCGATGTCAGTTTGACTGTAAAAGTACAAGTTTACAACGCGTAAGTAAGAGAAAGTTTGTTGTATGTTTGTGAAAACTGACCCATTTGAGCGGAGAATGTTTTACAACGCTTTGTGTTTAGTCATCGTTGCCTCCGAAGGATTACTGACATCCAATGCCATTACCATGTTAGTTATACTGAAGTTTAGTGATGTGTATTAAGGCATAGTGATGATCATTCAATCGGTATCACAATCCTATATCATCGACTCCAGTAGCGTGAGCATCTTTCAAGGATTCCATCCTTGTGGTTTTCAAAAAGTTCACTAAATGCTGACCCTGGTACGAGGCGGAAAAAGCGGAGAAGTGTTTAACCTGTGAAATGTCACCATGGTGTGAAAGGTAGCTGTATAGGAATAAGGGATCTGTCGGTACATCAGAACTCCTTGTTTAAAGTACTGAAAACCTCACAGTTCAGTGACTTGAGACGTTCAGAGTAGAAGCAAGTGGCGATCGTACTATGGTTTTGTATTACATTCTTAATGAAAGTGAGTTGAACTAAGTAGACGAAAAGAAATCTATTTGGATTGTAACTGTAATTCAAGTCACCAATAATTAAAGAAAAAAAGCAGTTCAGTGAAGAAAATGTTCTTTTCGACAATTTCATTTATTTAAGCTGTACAATCATGATGATTGTCATAAATTTAAAATCCGTTACTGAAAAGAGATGAAAAAGTGGAAAGCTGAAGATAATTGTCCAACTGATAGATGTTAAAAACAGAATAGTTAAAATAAATTACTATTATTATAGTCGTTGTTTTATTAAGTACAATGTGTTCACAAGTGACTAGCTTCATGTGGGAATTCTCGGAATTCTAGTGAGAAGCCGTGACCAGTGGATCTAATCCGTGTTGGATAGAGACGGGTATCTACCTCAGTACAATGGAAGATAGTTGTGAAATATCGCGGATTGGTTGAGGTTAGACATTAACACCGTTAGATGCCGGTTGGCTCAGTGGTCTAGAGTTTAAGCGTTTACGCATGAGACTGAAGGCCCTGGGTTCGAGTCCCGTGAGCGGGACAGCACTGCTGATGAGTCGCATGGTAAGACGAAACGGTCGCCCATTGCTTCCAGGTTTTCCATGGTCGTCTGGCTTCGATGGATTCATGATCTCAATCAAAAAAGTCTATTAGTGGTTATTTTGTTATGCAATCATCGTTATCACGATTATTTCATTCATCTGTTTAAAATTTGCTTAATTTTAACAGTTAGATTCATGAGTCGACCTGAGCTAGACCATCATTGAAAATTTTGGAAGCACTGGACGGCCATCTTATACTAGTGGGCTTGTTTAATTCTCAAAACTTATACAAACTCTTCAAAACTTTCATCTAGTCAATTATGAATTGTCAATACTTGTCAATTGATCACTCACTCTATCACTCTTTTATATTTAAATTTTATATAAACTTCTTGACAACTTTTACACTGATCGATACATCCGACTTATAAGTTTTTGGGAAGTTCTACTCGCGGCTTTCTCGCGGTAGGGGTGTTGTTTACGAAATTGAGAGGATGAAAAGCGAATGTCCGTCTCTGTAACCGGCTGGGTGGATATGGAGGATCCACCCAAAGGAGTTGGAAAATCCTGACTACAAACCAATGGTGCACATAGACTTCAGGATCCTGAGGGAACGAATGGCGTATGAATCAATTATTGGTCACCGGCTACCATGGGGTTGCATTTCCTGACGTTAATCCACTGCCTTGTGGATTAGACCTTTAAATCAAAGACACCGGGTGTGTCCGCCTAAGAAAACTATCTGGTTCGGTTTGGGCAACCGGGAAGTATCAAAGTCCACATACAAATCAAGTAACTTGTGTGGTGCGCATATGGATTCGGCGCTCCTTTCTACCGATATTTATGTGTTCAAATAAATAACTTCACTAAAATACTGTCATATTTCTTTATTTTAGTTATTATTAAATCAATTTCTATTTCCTGATCTAATATCATTTCAATATCATTTGAGTTCATATTATAATCATGTGTCAATGTGACATTTTAGTATGAACAGAGTTATGAGAACAGTTGATAAGAAATTAGCAGAATGAATTCATACTGTGGTGTGTGCTATGGATATAAGTAGTATGTATCATCAATTGAAAATGAAATATCTGACAGCAGAAGGTGAAGAATATTGAAGAAAAGCGAACGAGAACAAAGCATGATTGGTATGGAAATGAATGAACAATAAATTCTAAGACGATTGATTAACATTTTGTAAATGAAGTATTTACTGTATGATTCTCAGATTTGACTAAGAGATTCTGTAATTGTGTGTTAGAAAGAGGTTCAGAGGTTCTGAAATCATAATGTATACGATAGAAGAAGTCATCCATATGACTCCATAATAGTCGACCACTGGAGCCATGATAAGTTCAAAAAAACTCTTTCAGTCTCGATCATGTAGCTTCAATATTGTTTGTGTGCACTCCGGTTGTTGAGTCCACAAAATGCCACTCATGGATAACGACACGATCCAGTCAGTCAGTCAGTAACAACGTACAACTTCGTACGTACGTTCATCAGTTCGAGTTGCCACACAACATTAGCACAGAGATGCAGTTGTCGATTCAGATCCCGTAGTGGTAGAGGCGGTAAGAGTATAAGCAGTAATCGGAAGATTAGGGTTTGAAGATGTTATTCAAGGAGTAATATACAGCGAAATAAATTTGGAAAGAGAAAAAAAGACACAGGAAGAATTCAGAAGATTAGAATTTGGGAGAACACAAAGAGTGGATGCACCTGCGCCATTGCAAACGATTTTGAGCCATGTCATTCAACACCTCCAACCATCGGTTGCTATCATCTCGCGGTCCCCAACCACGTAGTCTACACCTACCAACATGACTCAGTCCACTTGTCAGTGACTTCATGGATTTGTGTCATGTTTTGGTTTGGCCGCCCCTAGCTTTATTCCGGTCTACTCCTATACCACTGAACATAGCACGTCGAGGTAGTCGGTCGTTCGGCATACGTAAACGTGTCCCAGCCATCTCAACTGATGAGGTTTCACTACTTCATCAATTGATTTGCCATCCTTACCTAGTACCCGTTTCCTAACAACTGAGTTACTTACTCGATGGTCCCATGATATACGAGCAATGTTTCGAAGACACCTATGATCGAATACTAGTAACCTACAGCACGATGCACATAACCACCTCTATGTAGGCATCAGTATGCTCTCCAATCACCTTGTTACGGGTGCTTTTATTATCCAGTTCGCAACAATTGTTATAACTTGCTTTAGTCTCAATCTGAATCGAGTAGATGTTTAGATGGGAGTAGATAATACAGAGCTCGAACCTGAAACATAACGATTAACTTTTATAAAGTACAATAGAATAAATTATTAACACAATATAATCTGAAATCTTCTACTTACTTGTTCAATTAATGGATCAGAATATTGTGTATCAAATAGACAAAATAATGTTTCACCAATTAAACCTAATTCTTCACCGATACAACGATTAACAATACGAATTAAAACAACTAATTGTATTACTTTCTGACATTGATTGTACACATAACTAAAAGAAATGAAATACAAGCAAACAAACAAATACACAATGAATACACTAATGAATGTCAATGCGTATATATTTCATTATTATTCTGGATCATATTCATAGTTGATTATTTCACGTAGAGATGAGCTCAGTCCATGTGTCTTAAGCCAAATTGTTATAGTGATTGTTATTATGTAATTGGTTATTTTCATTTGTTCTTCATATTCCAATGGATTGTCATGTCTAGTTGACTTTGAATCATATGGTTGATTGACTTTTTTTCTCTCGTTTAGATTAGTAGACTAGAGACACGTTGATAAGCTTAATTAATTTTAGTCAGTCAGTCAGCTACAACAACTATGCCAGACATGTCGGTTGAAGAGTGGTAAGACTAAAAGTAACAAACCCAAGACGAAATCGTACTGCTGACTGTAAAGAGAGGTGTGTCGTCAGAAAGGTGTTATCTTCAGACAACCAGCATAACAGCGATGCTGCTATCCCACAAGAAGGGGTCGGACTAGAAAAGGTTGGCCCTAAAAATGCACACCTTGCCTTATCCCACAAATATCAGCCTCCGGTGGTAAGGTCTCAACAAATAAGGAGCTAACACAAAAAGCACTCATAAGAAGGTCGTGTGTAACCGACCTCAAGCACTTGTCCCTTGTGCACTGCGGTCGCGCTCTCGGGTCACTAAAACCACCTCAAATCCTATTTCCTTTTCAGGTACATACAGAAGAACCCTTCCACGGTGTAGGCAATCTGGAAGTGATAGCCGCCCTCATACGTCTAACAGCACTCAAGATACAACTACGCCATTGTGTTCGATTCTGAGCCATGTCACACAGGGTCTTCAACTATTCGTTAGGATAGTCACTCGGACCCCAACCAAGCAGTCGGCATCTACCAGTATGGCTCAGACTACAAGTTAGTGACTTCAAGCTCGGATGTCACATTTTGGTTTGGTCGCCCCTAACATTCTTCCAACTATTTCCAACACTAGACAGCATTGCGCGTCGTGGTAATCGCTGTTCAGCTATACATCACACGTGGACTGTAAACTCATTTGAATATCATATTTTTAGAAACTTCCTGATACTTTTACAATTCCTTGGATCTGGAATTTCGACATTTTCTTAATCGAATTTATCTCCATGGTTGTTTACGTGTACAGATATAACAGTGACGACATATTATTCTGCTTCATGGATAATCTGTGCTCGTATATGATATTTCACACGATGTTGCTATGTTCGTGTATTGTTAAATACAGCTCTCCCTCGAACTTTCAAGAAAATATCAATACAACCCAGTAACTAAGCAATGATTTATAAAGTAGGGTAGTGTGATTATAGAACTACAGTGCCACGTTTTTTAATCCTTAAAGTGCGTGCTATCGAATAACACTTATTGATTGGTTATTACGTAAACATTTCTGTTATATCACAGGTCACCATCAGACCAAGTAATTTAGTGGTAGCATTCATGACTGCAGCACACTTAAATAGACATCAATTCTCTAAACATTAGTCATACTGACAAGTGAAAAGTAGAGTGAAACATAGACATTGAGCTTCTTCTCGAATGCCTTTAACTACCTGATAAAATTTGTTAAATGATGGGGTGATAGAAATCGCGTTCTATGTAAAAAGGAAGATAATGGTGCTGGTTGTTAGCTTTGGCAAAACTTGCGTCACTTGTGGCGTAGGCGAAATACCCTTCTGACAACCAAAGGATATGTTAACTGCACAGTAGTTCGCTCCTTCCTACCGTATGAGTATGAAATATGGCCGCTAAGGAAAGAGGATATTCGTGGGTTATCAATATTTGTTTATAGGCGTCTTCGAAGCGTTGCTAGTGCATTCTGAGACCACTGAGTCTGGTTTGGGAATAAGGGACTAAGTAAGAATAGAAAATCGATTAAAGAGGTAGTAAATTTCCATCGACCAGCCACCGCTTACCTGTATGGGCGATGTTATTTGGTGTTAGGAGTTCACTAGAGGAAAGCTAGGAAATCAGTCCATGAAGTAACTGACAATTAGACTTATAAATGTTAATAGGTATAGACTACCTTATTGGAGTCCACGTGATTATCCTAACTAATATTTAGAGACTTTGAATGACATGGCTCAAGATCGTTTGCAATAGTGCAGGTACATTCATTCTTTGTCTTCCTCCAAATTTTGAGATTCCAAACTCCTCATAACCCTTTTTGTTTTTATTTTACTAATTTAGATCTTGAATCATATCTTCGATGGCTAATCTTTTTAATCAGTGTTCATTTCGTTACAACCTCTACTATTCTGGAATTTGGCCTGACGATTTCATATCTCTATGTTGATGGGGTATGGCAACTCGGATTGATGTACATACATACCAGGTTGTAAGTTGTGACTGAATGGTCCTGATAGTGGCTCCTATTTTGACGTCGTAGATGGACTTGTTTATAGTAATGACTTAATCAAGCTATAGCGGGTCGGGTAAATAGTTTCATTAGGTCGTACCATGCCAGGTAGGCTGGTTGCAGAACTGTAGGGTGGAAAGCAGTCAACAGTTTTTCTCCTCACAACAGGAAAATGAGGTTAGTGAAGGTTAGGTTCAGAAATGCCAGTTTTCAACTTACCCCACAGGTTCCACCGAAGGCGGCAAGGCCTACTGAAGTACGGAGCTAATACATCACAAATTCTCATAGAAAAGTTGTGTATGACCGGTCTCAAGTAGTTGTTTCAAGGGCTTAACAGTAATTTTTTATGGTCGCTAAAACTACTAATATCAGTTTCTCTCTAAGGTTCTCCCAATAAGAAAATATCCTTCGATGGTGTGGGCAACCAGAAATTGACAATAGCCCTCATACCTCTAACAGCACTCGTGATCCTCTACACTATTATCGAATCCCCTCGTTACTTAATATTCATTTTATCCTACTATAAACCTTCTATGAAGTGATGTCAGTCAACTTATTATTAACAAGTAAATTACTGCCTATACCAAGCAACCAGTATAGGTCGGTAGATTATTGATATTGGCATTAATAGTAATAATCATCATTCAGCCCCCTAATAAAATTGCTGTTCATTTTAAAAAAAAAACATTCACTACTGATCATTAGGACGACTTACTCGACCATTTGGAGTCGGATCCGGATGATATTTCATTGACATTTGATAATAAGCTCGGCGAATAAATGACTCTTCATTGACCTACATTATTTGTGTGTGTGTATGAAAACGAACAAAGTGAACTGATCAAAATTGAAACCAATTAATTCAAGGAAAAAAAAGATGATATAAGTAGAAACTAGCCAAATACTGTTCAAGTTTTTTGAAGGGACATTTCAAAAATGACTGATATGCTGAGACTCTTCAACAGTATGTGCATTACTTACTACTTACTACTTACTTACTTACTTACTACTTACGCCTGTTACTCCTCGTAAAGGAACATAGGCCGCTCACCAGCATTCGCCATCCAACCCTGTCCTGGGCAATACTTTCCAGTTGTTATTCATCCTTTCCATATCTGCTTCTATTTCCCAACGTAATGTGTTATTTGGCCTTCCTCTTTTACGCTTCCCTTCAGGATTCCAAATCAGCGATTGCCTCGTGATGCAGTTTGATGACATGCGTAATGTATGTCCTATCCATTTCCATCGTCTTTTCCTAATTTCCTCTTCAGCTGGAAGCTGGTTTGTTCTCTCCCACAGTAGGCTATTGCTGATGGTATCCGGTCAATGGATGTTGAGTATCTTGCGTAGACAACTATTTATAAATACTTGCACCTTCTTGATGATGGTTGTAGTAGTTCTTCTAGTTTCAGCTCCGTACAGTAGAACTGCCTTGACGTTCGTATTTAAGATTGTGACTTTGATATTAGTTGAAAGTTGTTTTGAGTTCCACATCTTCTTCAATTGTAGGAATGCGGCCCTTGATTTGCCAATCCTCGTCTTTACGTCTGCATCCGAACCTACTTGTTCATCGACGATGCTTCCCAGAGAGAGACTGCTGATAACTAGCTGTCTTTATCTGAATTTGTTAGTGTGTATACGATAGGAGGGCTAGGTCATCTGCGAAGTCCAAATCGTCTAATTGGTTCTGAGCTGTCTATTGTATTACGTGTTTTCCCCCAGATGTCGAGGTCTTCATAATCCAGTCGACCACCAGAAGAAGAGGAAGGGAGAGAGTAGACAGCCTTGTCTGACTCCGGTCCTTCCTTGGAGTGCATCTGTCAGCTGTCCTTCATGCACGACTTTGCACTGTAGTCCGTCGTATGAGTTCCGGATTGAATGGATTTTGAATCGAGTCAGTTATTGTTTAAACTACAGTTAGTTAACTTGTAATACTGAAACAATTAAGCAATCCAATAGTTTTGCAACTAATATAATCCTGACTTTTTTCGCACTACGGTTGAATGAATTTAATTAGAAGATCAAGTGGAACAAGTCAAGTTCACCAGCAAGCAAATAGTTACCAAGTCATAAGCTATACATGGTATTATGCACGTTGTGAGACATAAATGTCATATGGTACAATCACACGTGATGTTGTGGGTATGTATTAAGTCATCCAGTCAGTTAATCATCAGGAATGAAGAACCTGGAAATGGTATTAAACGATTCAAGCCATCAAGCCACATCAGAACAGCGAACTGAACTGTGCCATAGAAACCGATTGTGAATTATGTTACCGGACTTATACAACCACTGATTGGAGTTATTAACATGACTGTGATTGAGTAGGTTGTACATGTCCACACAGCTCAGTTTAAAATGGATTGGTCCAATGTCTTGGATTGGGAGTTCCTAGCTTTCTTACAACTCACTACTACACTATGTATAGTTGCACGTCACGGCAGACGATGGATAGACATATGTAATGCATGTCCGGACCACCTCAGTTAATAAACATCTAAAACCCCATTGACCAACTTACCATTTTCATGTAGCAACTTATATTTAACTTCACTCAATCGTTTAGAAAATAATTGTTTAGTGATTCGAAGGCATCTATGATCAAATATTAGTAATCTAAAAATATCTATTCTTTGAGGACACACTTCACAGTCAAAGTAGGACAGAACGAGATATTACAAAGTATCCTACCCCTTTAGTTCGACCGATAAATGCTTACAGCACAGAGGAGACAAGTTGTCAAAAGCTAAGAAGTGGAATAATATTCCATCATCTTGTAACTTTCGATTTCAGTTGATATCAGTTCAAAACCATACTTTAAATTAAACATTCAAGATCTCATCTCAAATCGATTATTAACAGAATCCTAACATTCTTAACCGTGTGGAAGTGAATGTGAATCAATCAAACATTAAAAAAAGAGTGATTTGATTTACTTACGAATTTAACAGAGCTGGATCTAATCCAAGTTCACTTAATGCTTCTTCATAAGACATATTCACTGGTTTCTTTTGTAATTCGTCACGCCATGTTTTCAATATATCACGTAATAATGCTACCTAAAATAAAATGATGAAAAGAAGTTTAAACATAAGGAAAAGTGTGTTTACATAGGAAAAGTTCCGGAAGCTACATATACATTCTTACAAGAATACGTATGATGAAGTAAGGCATACAAATGTGGACATTTTTTTGCAAAGTAAATGAATTATCCAAGACCAGTCTCATTTCTTTATTTATTTTAACACAAAGATATTGGCACAAGGTGGCACCAAATACATATGCACCACACAAATCTCACTTGATTTGTGTGAGGGTTGTGATACTGCACGGTTGCAAAACCGAAGGAGGTGGTTTTCTTGGGAGGCCACACCGGAGCCTTCGACCTGAAGGTCTGATCCACAAGGCAGTGGAGCAACGTCAGGAGATGCAGTCCCGTGCTAGTCGGTGATCAACGATTGGTTCATACTTCATTCGTTCCTTCAGGATACTGGAGCCCATGTGCACCACTGGTTTGGAATCAAGGTTTTCCAACTCCCCTCCCTAGGTGGACTCTCCATGTCCACCAACCCGGTTAAAGCCCCCTGCCGGACATTCGCGTTTCATCCTCTCAATTTCGTAAACAACACCTCTGCCACGAGAAGGCAATGAGTAGGACTTCCCTGGCAGAGACTATATACGCGTGGCCATGTGGGAGCATTTCGGAGGGAGAGAGGACTCTCCCCACTCTCGGTCGTACCAAGGAATTTGGGGGCATCCACGACTAGTCAAGGTGATCATCACCATTTCTCTATCAGTGTCAGCCCGGATACATATAAATACGAAAGGGATCCAAAAGTTATTATTTAGTGTTTTACAATCCACATAGTATTCATTATCGATTTAGTCAAAAGTTCGTTGAAGAATATGCAAGTCAGATTCCAAAACAAAATATGTGTGATTCATTTTAATAAAGACATTAGAAGATTCTAAGCTCCACTACACCTAATTTGATTTGAGTGATCGGATTGTGTTTTTTAAGGTTTTATACAAAGGAAAATTGTAACTGAAAAATCAAGCATATAAATGTGTATTTGGTAAATAACTTCCATTGCGTTGATTCAATAGTCAGATATTCAAATTTTTAGTATATTAACTAGTAGATAGTAGATTTTATTGTTGAAAGTCAAGTTAAACGAGTGAAATTCCCGTTTAGGTGTTAGTTTATGCGTACAATAAGCGAAAGCACGTACACTGAAACAACAGAGAGAAAAGAATATCATATACTCAATAGTGAATACGCATCAAATAACGTGCAACTAAAAAGTCACAAACACAAAACACTGAATAACTGTTTTATTCTAGTGTGACACTTAAGCAGTGCGGACTCGCGACTCCTAGAACAGTCAAACCCAGAACATTCAGCTTTCAGTGAGTACGTTTAACCTTTAAAGTACCGAGTTGAAATTAAGTGGTGAACACTTCAAAATTCATTCAATTCATGATATTGCATAACAAACACCTGATGCCTTCGTAGTGTGTGAACAACTTCTTGAAAAACAAATCAATTTTGGAATGTCCGAAGTTAGTCTCAAAGAGCTAGTTTCAATATGTACAAGATAAACGCAGCTAGATGACTAGTAAGTAGAGTTGGGAAATATGCTCAGAAGACAGCATAAACAAGGAACAAGACTTTATTCATAATATGTCGATTGAAATATGTAACCCAAAAAGCTTTTTTTTAGAGAATTACATGCATATAGCAAACAGGGAAGTGCAGTCATAACAGTCGGTAAGAAGCTTCTCTATCTGGAGATACAACTCAATGAAGAGACAGTTTGTGATGTACTACGAGATAGACTGACTAAGGCAATGAACGGGATGTGTAATGAAACTAACATATGTCTATCGTTTTCTAACTGACCTATGGTGGTTCCTCAATCAAACGATAAGTTAACCACTTTAGCACACTCATGTGTATACATGTAATCAGCTGCTTTTATAAAAAAGGAAATAGTGAGCGTGCAATTAAACAACTGAACCAACGCGTTAATGAACACCTCCATTCTTGTTTGCTAAAAGTTTTGACCAAAACACTACATAGCTTCGTTCTATCACACTAAACGGATAGCAGTCATGCAGTGGACAGAAACAAATAATTTCGAATGAACTATGGTTACTCACCACTTTTATTTAACGGGTTCAATCTTGTTTATGACATATGGCAGAAGCTACAAGACTACTCTAGCAAACAAGTCTTTATATTCATGACATATCTGTAACATTCATATTTCTTCTGTGACCACTATTTCCTCATTTAATCATTTGGACATAATCTACGATGAATGTTCTTTCGATGTCAATTTTTTCAAGGTTTTGAACGTATTTTCGATTATAAACCATTGATTTATTCTTCTTAACACAGTTAGTACACTTGGTCAAGTACACTATTAGTTCGTACTTTTTGTATACATATATTACTGTCTATTGTAGTACAGTCTAACGACAATCAAACCGTAAACAATCATATACGGTTATATCTGTATTTCACTGATTGAAATTATGAGCCAGTTGAAGCTAGACCACCATGGAAAACCTGGAAGTACTGGACGGCCGTTTCGTCCTAGTATGGGACTCTGTATTGTTCTAACTAAACAAATATATACATATCACAGACAATTAGTACACATGGTTAAAACAAAAAGGTAGACTAAAACAAGAATAAGCAAAGCAACAACATATAAGTAAGTAAGTAAACATTTACCGGGTCACGTATAGGCCAATCAGGAAAACGTTGTAGATCACATAAATGACGTAAATAATAATTATGACAAAATAATTCATTTTCCAATTGTGGATAAATGATAATTGGCATACCGATAAATCGATAAATAGCACGTATATTACTATGTAAACGTGGTGAGAAATCTGCTAAATGTGATGTAATTCGACCGATCATATAACGTCTATATTACGGAAATGTGTAAGACAAAAAAAATGAATGAATGATTAGAGGTATATAAAATAAACAGTGATGAATTTGAAATGAACTGGATGAATAATCAATCTAACTAAAGTAAGTTCAAGCCGGGAATAAACTGCTTTTAAATATATAGAGAAAAGTTTGAATATTCATTTGCCACTGAATGCCCTGGTACGGCTGAGAGTGGGGAGAGTCCGCTCTCCCTCTCGAAATACTCACACATGGCCACGCGTATATAGCCTCTGCCAGGGAAATCCTACTCATTGCCTTCTCGCACCACGGAGTTGTTTACGAAATTGAGAGGACGAAAAGCGAATGTCCGGCGCTTTAACCGGATTCCAAACCAATGGTACACATGGACTCCAGTATCCTGAGGGAACAAATGGCGTATGAACCAATCGTCGGTCACCGGCTACCATGGAACTAATCTCCTTACGATGCTCCACTGCCTTGTGGATCAGACCTTCAGGTCGAAGGCTCGGGGAGCGACCTCCTAAGAAAACCAACTGCTTCGATTTGGGCACTCGGGCAGTATCAGAGCCCTCACACAAATCGAATGAGATTTGTGTGGCGCATATGTATTTGGTGCTTCTTTGTACCAATATCTATGTGTTAAAATAAATAAATAATAAGGCTTCAACAGAACACCTTAGAATATGCTTCTGTATACTCATATGCAACTCTAGAAAAGCTATTTTAACATCTATCCTGATTACATATTAGTAATGACCAATGTCATATTTGTCTGGTCCTTGTCGACTTATCAAGTTTGTCTTAGATTGTTCCACTCGCTCCCTTTCCACTCTTTTGTATATTGTTTTGTACTACTTATTAACATTCACTATGCAGTTGTAATCCCAACAATTTTTTAAACCTATGTTGTGACGCAAGTTGTACTGTTCACATATATTTATTACGTTTATTGTACTTATCATTGTATTTATCATTTTAATTACTGTACCTTAATCACTGCATCGGTTATTCACAGTTTCATGCATTTGTTTAAACGCAACAGTTTCCATATTGTTTTGCTCTTGGTTCGGGTCTCGGTTGTCCATAAACTGTTATCAAATATAGACACAGCTATCAGCTGTCTTTTGTACTATCGTATGTTATAATTGTTCATTATGTTACTGTTACAGGAAGCCTTTTTACTTTCATACTTGAAAGACGCGTTTAAAGGCCCAAGACACCTCACAAATCGAGGTTTGTAACTTCGGTTTCGCGCGTAACCCAATCAGGTGAACTAGATGCTTCGACAGATCTAACAATACTATTTTTGAAATCGTGTCGATCAGGTTGTTAGTTTAAGTGACGGAAAATCATATGAGTCGCATTTGGACGTTATATGATTGTTTAAGGTCTACAGGAAACAATGTACCAACAAGGCAATAGAGTTCATTATTAGATTCCAGGTACGCTTTAGTGATGGGTAACAATTAGTACAAAATTTAGGTTGGATGTTTACACTGTCAACTACCTACAATCACATCAAGCATGTCAAACATGTTGTACAATAAAATCATATGCCTAACATTGAACTCCATAGATCAATGAATCAACTGAGAAATAATCGAAAATAATCAACGATATTTGAAAAGGATAATTGAATAATGGTCTATAAAATTGACAAAATGAATATTAGTATGGGTGGTTGTAGTATGTTCACTGCTGAGCCAATCTACACTAGACCAGTAGAGCAGGATCCATATCGAGTGTGAGACAGTGATCCATCACAGGTAATGGATGGTTGGTTGCGCAAGATCATGAATTTATTCAAGTTAGATATTAACACTGTCAGATGCCGGTTCAGTAGTTCAAAGGCCTGGGTTCGACCTCCACGCTCGGGACCGTGGATGTGCACTCCCAAGGAGCACCATGCTAGAACGGACACAGCCGTCCAATGGTTCCAGGCTTTCAATGGTAGTCTTAGACCAGCTCGTGAACTCAATTGTACAAATGAATATTATCAATAATTAACAAGAGACAAAACACAATTTGAAGCACTGAAATAATTTCAGACGTATATTTAAAGTAAGTTAAACAATTCAGGAGGTAGCATACGAAAACTTAGAGAGAAGATAATCTTTAATGATAAAAACAGTGATTTTCGTTATGTAAAACAAAATGAATTGAAGTTACATGATATAAACACAATGTACAAATTACACGTCTACTTACTTACGCCTGTTACTCCTCGTGAAGGAACATAGGCCGCTCACCAGCATTCGCCATCCAATCCTGTCCTGGATAATCTTTGCCAGCTCCTTCCAGTTGTTATTCATCCTTTCCATATCTGCTTCTATTTCCCAACGTAATGTGTTCTTTTTAGCCTTCCTCTTTTACGCTTTCCTTCAGGATTCCAAATCAGCGATTGCCTCGTGATGCAGTTTGATGACGTGCGTAATGTATGTCCTATCCATTTCCATCGTCTTTTCCTAATTTCCTCTTCAGCTGGAAGCTGGTTTGTTCTCTCCCACAGTAGGCTATTGCTGATGGTATCCGGTCAATGGATGTTGAGTATCTTGCGTAGACAACTATTTATAAATACTTGCACCTTCTTGATGATGGTTGTAGTAGTTCTTCTAGTTTCAGCTCCGTACAGTAGAACTGCCTTGACGTTCGTATTTAAGATTGTGACTTTGATATTATTTGAAAGTTGTTTTGAGTTCCACATCTTCTTCAATTGTAGGAATGCGGCCCTTGATTTGCCGATCCTCGTCTTTACGTCTGCATCCGAACCTCCTTGTTCATCGACGATGCTTCCCAGAGAGAGACTGCTGCTACACTAGCTGTCTTTATCTGAATTTGTTAGTGTGTATGCCATAGGAGGGCTAGGTCATCTGCGAAGTCCAAATCGTCTAATTGGTTCTGAGCTGTCTATTGTATTACGTGTTTTCCCCCAGATGTCGAGGTCTTCATAATCCAGTCGACCACCAGAAGAAAGAGGAAGGGAGAGAGTAGACAGCCTTGTCTGACTCCGGTCCTTACTTGGAATGCATCTATCAGCTGTCCTTCATGCACGACTTTGCACTGTAGTCCGTCCAATTATGTACACACTGTATAGATTGCGTCGAAAATGTCTTTCGTGTCAGAATGTGAAGTAAATTAAGACGATTCCACCGAGATCCATATATGTAAACAAAGACTGATCAGAATTAAATCTCGATGGGTGACATGGCTCAGAATCGATCACGATTGTGTAAGTGTATACACTTTCTGTCTTCCCTCAAACTATGAGATTAAAATCGCTTCAAATCTTTCTTTCCAAGAACTAATTGTTTCTTCCTGTACTATGTCCTTATATGCAATCTTTCTCTTATATATTACCACCATCGACTTATCTACTCCTATGAATCCATGTTTTATCTTGTTGTGCTAATGAGGTATGGTAACTTGGACCGATGGACATATGTGCCTGGTCCTACGTTGTAACTGACTGACTGACTGACTGAATAGTATAAACACCATCGAATAAACATAATATCCGTCTAACGAGTTAGAAGCTAAATGGATACAGTACCTTAATGGATAATATATCGACTTCTAAGTTCGGGTCTCAGTGTAAACAATCAACACAGGGAAGTGTACATTCGACTTGAAGTTACTTAAATTAGATATATAAAATGGTGTGTGTAAAAATCAGCTAAGTGATTGCGCGATCAAACAGTTTAAGATATTTGTTTACAAATAGAAACTGATTATATATATATATATATATATATATATATATATATATATATATATTATATACACTATACATAATAGTAACAAAACGAAAGGAAGCCTACCTCATCTCTGAATTCCATATCGCCTCAGGTGAATCGAAATCACCAAGAAAAATCTCTGCGAATTTTTCTGGTGGATGATTTTCTAAGTAAGCAATCATAGCATCAGGCAACATATTGCCCAGAATTGATCGTGAGGTTAAATCAATTCCTAATGAACCAGTGAACTAAAATGATTTAAGAATAATAAAGTTACAGACGAATGGAATTACGTACTCAATTTAATTACACTGTTGTGCACATCGGAAAACTCAGATACGATTGAGTATGAGGACAACCTAGTCCCTTTATTGAAATCAAATACGGTCACGCAATAGTATATAATGTCGAGGAAGTTCAATTCCCTATTTTATGTGGCGGACAGGGTATATTTTTATGAAAAGAAAAAGAAAAGTGGATGTCTGGCAATTGAAGGATATCGAGGGTTCATCTAAGGAAGTTGAAAAAACCCTGATTTCATACCCAACAGAGAACATTGGCTCATGGATCCGGAAGCGACTTTTGGTGCACAAAGTCACAGTAGTGAAATTATATTACTGATTTCTAAAAGTGTGCACTACAAAATATCAATTTCTATGATTCTTTCCACATTACGATTCTTGTATCATCTAAATATTCGAGTTCTCATAGAAGTTCAAGTTAGTCAACTTTGTGTAACGTTAAAGTAGGATGAATCAGCTGTTCAATACTTTTTCAAGATGTACACAAAGTTACGGTTAATATGCAATTTGGTAAAGGATAGTTATTTAACAGTAAAGTATGTGATTCATATTTTGTCTAATCTGAAACTAATCAGTCGGGTGCACACGCATATATATCCGAGTATTGATTTTTACAGGTATAAACAATCTGCTAACAAGTGCCAAATGGAATGAAATACAAAATTTGGATTATATAGTTAACTAGTACTAATTTATGAAGAAACACAGGGTTTCATTCGAAAGAGTCATATAGCACAAACATACTGAATAAATTCAGTCGCCAATCTTGTTCAACAAACAGAAAATTGATTAGGGATAAACTACTTAACGTCGTCAAATGATCCAAGTATATTGTAGTTAACTAGTAACGGTTATGTATTCGTCTATTTAGTCATTCAATAGAAGATATCTTGGAATAATTTCCATTATCTAATTATATCTTTTCCTGTGTTATAATTTTTCTTCCATCATGACTGACTGCGCTACACTTGATACATCCATAGCATGATGAAGTAGTCATTTCGTAGTAGAAAACTTTAACAGTTTCATATAGACCAGCAAAAGGATAGAGACTACGATAGTGCAAATAATAATTCCCGCCTCATTTTGGTTGGCTGTCAGATGCAAGGTCATAATTGTAAAGGAGAGTGGAACTCATCCGCACTCCAGAAACTGTAGTTCTTTGTATGAAGATTCGTCAAAATTTTATAGAAATTGGGTAACGAGTATGCAGAAGATATCATAAGTAAAAATTGTATTTGAATAATCCTCAAGACTAAAGAAAGATTTGCTGTGTTTAAGTATTACTTGACGAGTCATGATTTTCATCTATGCAGTTGTTCAGAATGTTGTACGTGAAGTGAGGTTCTGTTATAACTTGTGACTTGTGTACCCTCCTAATGTATAACGTAACGATACCGTCAATTAGAGAGCAGTGAATTATCGATTGGACCAATGACACATAAATTTCGTACGAGCAGTCTAGAGTACTTATCGGTCCTGCTTCCTGCCTAACTCAGTCAGTTAAGTCCAAAACACCAATCTCAGCCTCTGCAATATGAATCATTTATTTCAAGCATACTGGGTTTATATACGAAACAAACTGACCAGATCATACCATAAAATAGGAAACAACATTTGTAAAAGATTTGGCCAAATATGGCTGTGAATGTGGGAGGTAGTAGTTAATAGACAGGGTATAATTCAAGAACGGTAAATCGTATAATAATAGTTCATAGGTCAAAGTAAAGCTTACGATAAGGGGAACACGACTATGGATAGTTTACTAAAATAACAACTATACAATACAAAATATATGCATAGTATTGGTCCATAAATGGATCCCCAAAGTTACCATTCATTATGTTTATCAGGACCTAACAGGTTCAAAGCTATGAAACAATGATTACTAATTAAATCCATAGGTGGTGTTAACTGCTTTCAAGACAATTCAATATAACTCATTTATCAACTGGAACTTTGTATACTAAGATTTTATCCACATTATTTGTGTGTATGAGTGATTGTTGTGATACTACAATAACCGACTGTTAGAACCTGTGACCAACCTGTTAAGTGTATGTAAACAGTCATAGTAATTATATTCGTTTAAAAAAAAACCGAAAATCTCAACATTTTCCTGAAATACGAATAAATCGACAATATAGATATAGACATACAGATACAATAAGTACCTACACACAATATACTACTAATTACAAATGAATAATTTTGTTATATTATTCTTGTTAGGTCATATGATAAGATACTCAATAAGAAGTGTTCTTCTAAAGTAAACTAAACTTGTAAATCATGAAAATAACAAAGTAATGTATGTATGATTGATTGAGATGCATAACGAGAGGAAATTAACATACTGATTTTTGGCTAATCTATGTTGGTGACTACTTGAACTCAGTAGCGTAATGGATAATACGTTGCATTTAAAGTGATAAATTTTGAGTTTATGTATATGTCAATAATAGAATGAAGGTGAATCGAGTAGACGAATCTCAAAGAGGAGGAAACGCGCATTTCAGATTTCACTGATAATTAAATTATGAGTACTAAAACAATCATATCTTGCCAAGAACTGACTTTTTACCGGTGGATGTATGTTGCTTAATGACGAGTAAGTCAATTTGTAAGTGATAAACACTAATGTCATCTATAGCCGGTGTATTAGAAGAAGTCTAGAAATAACAAACTGAAGCTCGTTAGAATGAAGTGTCTTCTTTTTGCTAAGTGATTGGATATCCGGGAAGTTGACAATTCATCACTTATCTCTGAAAGCATCTCAGTTTATCTACATTATGATTGACTGAAGTTAAAAATTCACACATGGTATACGCATACATAAATACATATTGTTGAGAGTCAACAAACACACTAAGTCTTTAGAGGCATAGAAAAAGGTAGTAAAAGTTTTAACCAATTAACATTGAATAGAAGTTGCTTGGATACATCTTTAAAACAAAAGGATCATGTGTCACATTTTGATTGGATAATTACTTAGATTGTTGCTAAATACAGTATATTTCCTGAATTTCCTAAATGATTTATGAAGATTTTCTAAACGTTGATTAACCTTGGAACAATGCATTTAGTCATAGTTCTTGTCTTCTCTATTGCTCTAGTTTTACAGTGAAGATGTAATCTGTGCATATAAGAAGTATCTATAAAGTCATCAGCAAGCAAAAGATACCTATTATATACATTACTTACGCTTATTAAACCTCGTGTATCATAAACCGCTAATTAGGATTCTCCACTGAACTCTGTCATGTGCTATCTTTCCCATTTGTTGCAAAGTGCTATACACTATTTTGATTTCTGCCTCTAATTCATAGTACAATGAATTCTGTGATCTTCCTCTTTTCCTTCTGCCTTGACGATTTCAAGTTAGGGCTTGCGTTCTCTATGCCAAAGTAACTTCTTGACGATAGTGTCCGGCCAACGGTACCTTGCTTAGATAGCTGGTTGTAGATACGCGTGTTTTATTGACGCTGGTTGTAGTAGTAAGGTCACTACTCACTGCTTTGTACTTCAGGATCTTATTTTTGCCTTGCGTACGTCGAGGCCTACGGCTGCAGAGGCTACTGCTACACTAATTGTTTTCATCTGCATTTGCTGGAGTGCATAAGATCGAAGAGCTAGGTCATCTGAGAAGTCCAAACCGTCCAGTTACACTCAAACTGTCCATTATATTCCGTGCTTCCCCTCTGATGTCGAGGTTTTCATAATCCAGTCAACGATCAGAAGAATGAGAAAGGAGGAGAAGAAGCAGCCTTGTCCTAAACCGGTCCTCACTTGGAATGCGTCTGTCAGCTGCTCTCCATGCACGACTTTGCAGTGTAGTCTGTCTTATGAATTCCGGATGATGTTGACCATTTTCTCAGGTACATCATAGTGTCGAGGAAGTTTCCATAATGTTCTCCTATCCACATTATTGAATGCTTTCTCATAGTCAAGTATGGTGATGTATAGTGACGAGTTCCATTTGATTGATTGTTCAACGGTGATCCGCAGTGCCGCGATGTGGTCTGTGTACGACCGATTCTTACGGAATCTTTAATCCTGTTCAGCAACACTTGAAAATGTTTCCTGATACCGATAGTGTGATGCCTTTATAGTTGTCATAATTACTAAGATTTTTTGATGAGGTATCCTTTTTTCCAGTCTATCGGCATTTGTCGTTCCTCCCAAATCTTCCTGAATAGAACGTATAGCATTTACATTTACTTCTATGTCTGAATTCAGTGCTTCAGCTGGTATGTTGTCTAGTCCTGCTGATTTCCCACTCTTCATTTGTCTAATGTCCATGTTGATTTCTTCGATTGATGACGAGGTAACTTCGTTAGGAAGGTCTGTCGGTGCTGCTTCGATTTCATATATATATATATATATATATATATATATATATATAACACTTGCACAGAAATTTCAAGACAAAACCAATCAATACAACAATGAACAACAATATAGTACAACTTACTTCATCTAAGCGTAATGCTTGTAATAAGTGAACATCTTTTAAAAACTTTGCAATTGGTAAAACATTACTACCAGTGTATAATAATATGAAATAAAATATTCCAGTTAAGTAAAGTCGTGGTAGAAAAGGATTTTGATCCATAACAGCATGTAGAAGAGAGACAACACGTTCAACCAATGGTGGGTCGAAGGTCAGTAGTAGCTAAATATATTAATTAAATAAAATAATAGTAATAGTAATAATAAAATAGAACAGTAGATTAGTTGTTAGACATTGTTAATATAATGAAAACATTGAAATACTAAACTAGAGAGAATCAGTTCCTTTAAAATATCAGGTATACCTTATTGGTCGATGTTAAAAAGAATGAAATATGAGCTAAGATTTCACTGTTGACTAACTCCGATCACCCAACACCTTAGCAAAGTGCATACAACGTCGAGTCACTTAGGCTAGTCATGATATTACAACCTGACCGATAAAATTCGACCTGAACAATGGATCAGACAAATATGACATTGGACACTAGACATCTCAGTTCTACAAGAGGTAATTTGAGGGCTCGACATGCATAGTGGTAACGTCCCAGAGTGTCAGACTGGGTGACTTGGGTTCGACTCCTACAGAGAACATATCACTCCCCTCACGATTCCATGTACCACTTACCAACGAACGCCAACTACTACCAAATTTAGGCTCATGGTTTTCTATCAAATAACTCCAGCCACTTCACTAACTGTTAAACAGTTGCTTCGTTCTAGTTTGAAACTTTTAGTGAGTAGTGCGAAAAATCGATTTCTAAGCACAGAATCAAATGTTTGAACAACTTAAATTGCAACTCAATAGCTCAAAAGAATAGAATAGAAGTAAACTGGAAAAATTGAAGATAGGAAGAGTAATAAAAACAAAGATAGTATATTCGTTTTGAAAGTTACTTAACATTAAGCATTGACAGATATGAGTCGTCTAGTTGCAATCACATGGTATATATCGTAATTTAACAACCTTAAGTAAAATGAACAGAAAGACAATTATAATGGGATGCATATTCATTTGCAATTTACAGTTTTATAATGTTATTTCATACTGTTTATCATTACAGGTCATGCTAAGTGGTTACCGCTTTCTGGCTACTTTAAAGTGAAGTGCAATAAATTAATCTGAGATATTAAGTGCCATATCGTTCAGTGGATAGCAACCGATGGTTAGAGACCCTGAATGACATGGCTCAAAATTGTTTGCAATGACGCAGTTGCATCCACTCTTTGTGTTCTCCCAAATTCTAATCTTTCGAATTCTTTATGTCCGTTTTTTCTCTTTCCAAATTTATTTCACTCGATTACACTCCTTGAATATCATCTTCAAACGCTAATCTTTTCGACTACTGCTTATACTCGTACTACCTCCACCACTACGGAATTTGAGTCGACAACTGAATTTCTGTGCTAATGTGGTATGGCAACTCGAACTGATGTAGGTACGTACGAAGTTCTACGTTGTTACTGACTGACTGACTGACTGACTGACTGACTGACTGACTGACTGACTGACTGACTGACTGACTGACTGACTGACTGACTGACTGACTGACTGACTGACTGACTGACTGACTGACTGACTGACTGACTGACTGACTGACTGACTGACTGGATCGTGTCGTTATCCATGAGTGGCATTTTGTGGACTCAACAACCGGAGTGCACACAAACAATATTGAAGCTACGTGATCGATACTGATTGAATCGACTATATTAGGAGGAAAATTCTAAATGAAGTAATATATATTTCATACTTATATCTAAAGTGTAATCAATATAATACAATTCTTACTTGAATTACATGCGGTAGACAATTCATATCGGAGATAGCACGACGTGGTTTCGGTAATGGACGTACAACACCACCATGTAGATCACGTGATGAACAACTATCACATAATCGACGTAAAATATCTATACATTTTATTGCTAAACTTGTATAATTTGTAAACATTCCACCAGTATAACTTAATTTATCAATTAAACAACCAACGTTTATTTCATGATTTCCAGTAATTGAATTATTTGTATTATTATTATTACTACTAATAACAGTTGGATTAGAACGAGTAGACAGATTAGATGAATTTGATAATTTCATATCTGAAATATCAGAAAGTGTCCAACGAATTTGTACAATACGTTTAGCTGGCATCCAACCATACATTCCACAAGCAATAGTTTTCTCATTCATTTGTTCAGAATGATCTAATGATATAGTATCATTATTTAAATGATTTTCTTGTGATTGATTAGATGATTTATTGAAGTTATTACTATCTTCTTTGATATCAACAAAATCATCTTCAGCTAAATAACCATCTGGACGACAACGAGGTGTTGCATCTAAACCTTGGGCATATACTTTTGTAGCATTATTAATACGTCCATCTTTAATCAATTGTTGTAGCTATATGGGAAATTTTTTTTATTTAAAAGAATAAAGCATGAGTTACATTGAGTTGTTATGATAATCTAATTGAATTTGGTTAAACAATCACTGGAAACCAACGGAAACCAAAGAACTATTTCGCTTTAATATGAAACTTGCACACATCGAGGACTCCATCAAGTATTGAACCTAAAATCCTCAGACATCACAGTGAGCACTTAACTTTAATACTACTTAGTTGCTTACCAGTTAGTTTACACTTCTATTTTAAGTCATTTAGCAATATTTAGCAGCCATCATCCATTTTGCTATTGATGATAATTATTTCACTTTCAAAATGACTGAACTCTGTTGGTCACGGATTTACACTGGAACTCAAAGGATTGCATCGTGAAGCTAGCCACTAGTGATCAGATAATTACAACTGTTGAGATCATTGGACTTATGGTGGCCGATACGAATATACTGCGTTAACTCCATAGTCAGTCAGTTACAACGTAGGACTAGACACATATATGCATTGGTCCAAGAGAGTGTATACACCTACACCATTGTGATCGATTCTCAGTCATGTCACATAGAGTCTCCAATCATTGATTAGGATAGTCACGCAGACCCCAACCAAGTAGTCCGCGTCCACCAATATGGCTCAGACTAGAAGTTAGTGACTTCAAGCACTGATGCCACGTTTTCGATTGGCCACCCCTAACTTTCTTCCAACCATCTCCAACACCGGTTAGCATTGGTCTTCGTGGTAATCGGTGTTTAGGCATACGCAACACGTGACCCAACCATCTCAGTCGATGAAGATTCACAACCTCATCAACTGATTTACCATCATTCCCAAATAGCACGCATCTAACCTCACTATTACTCACCCGGTGATCCCAGCAGATGCGAGAAATATTTCTAAGGCATATATGGTCAAATACTAGTAGCTTACGAGTATTTTTAACTCTTAATGGCCACGTTTCGCAGCACAGAATGAAAAGTGTTAAAAACATCTAGATGAATACAGATTATCACGATCATGAAATCTCTGTTTGGCTAAAGTTGGTGTATTATTATGAGTTGGCGTATTCCAATTAAGTGATCGAAAGATAATGCGCTCATCATGAGGTATGAATGTTCTAAGTTTGATCCCTAGCGTGTTTATCAGAGTTGTTGCAAATTATTCCCTAATTAGGGCAAAACAACTATCAAATAACGTTTGATTTGGATGGGTTACTGATATGATGTTAATCTTTGAAAAAATTAATTTTATCAGTTTGGGGCTTGTGGAGATCGTTAAGTTTTTGATTGAGATCATGAACTGATTGATGTTAGACCATCATTGAAAACCTGGAAGCACTGGACGGCCGTTTCGTCTCATTGTGGGACGCCTCAGCGACTAGCTTCGTGAGAAAATTCTCGGAGTTCTGGCAAGAAGCCGTGACCAGTGGATCTAATCCATGTCGGGTAGAAACAGGTGTCTACCTCAGTAAAAAGGGAGATGGTCGCGCAATTTCGTGGATTGGTTGGGGTTAGACATTTACACCTTTCGATGCCAGCTCAGTGGTCCAGTAGGTTAGGCGTTCGCGCGCGAAACTGAAGGCCATGGGTTCGAATCCCACCGGCGGGATCGTGGATGGGCACTGCTGAGGAGTCCCACAATAGGACGAAACGGCCGTTCAGTGCTTCCAGGTTTTCAATGTTGGTCTAGCATCAATCAGTTCATGATCTCAATCAAAAATTACTTTTAATAAATTAAGAATGATAATTGTATAGTACCGTTCTAATAAGAAAAATATATGTAAATAAGGATTCATCAACTGTAAATCGATTCACCTAAACTATTACATGAAACAAATATAGACATATACTGTTTATCATTAAACTTTACAAAATTTACATTTGAATAAACAAAGTACTTACTTCATAAAAACTAACTGGACCTTGAATAGAATGAGATCCAGATTTGGTTATTGATCCATTAGTTGTTTGTTCTGTTTGTGTTGTATTAATATACCACCATTCTCGTTGAGTATTTGCACCAGTACCTGAAAACTCTTGTTCAGAACTAGCTTTTAAAACATTGGATTGAAATGGGGTAGGTGCTCGATTTGTATGTAAATGTGCTAAACATGCTAAATCGATGAGAACACGTACACCATCAGCATCGACAAATGACATAACATTATTCTAGAAATTAAAACACAGGAAACATAATTGTTAGATACACATATATTCAGTAAGGTAAACAAAACTGAGATTCCTGAAGATGAAGTTATTTACTTCACTTACCACGTAAACATTTGTATACTTAGCTAAAATACACAGTTTAATCATGAAGACTAGTGATATTATTTGGTTGCTAAAACAAAAAGAGATAAAATGGAGTTCGGACTTGAAACTTAATGGCTGAATGTCGAAGGTCTTAACCATCGAGTGAGCGCTCAATGACTTGAATAGACCAATAAGAAGTTCATTTATTTTTCTAGACGAAAGTATGAATACATAAGAAATGTGGATATTTAACAAAACGTGATCACCTCATTGGAAAAAAAGTCAAAACGCTGACCACAATTTCATTGAATTCAATGTTATTGATGTAACAAACAGTCTAGTTTTAATACCATTTTCAAATGAATGAGACTTAAAACTCATATTCTATAGTCCTTAGTATATTAAGCAACAGGTATTATTATTTGTTCTTATGTTAAATACTTGATACACCGGCTAGTTTTATTGGTTTTGCGATCATTTGGTTCATTGATTTGAGGTTTACATGAATAAGTCGGTCTAAAGAAAAGTCACCAATCAAATAAAATATTATCAGAAGTGGGTTTTGTGGAGATTTTTGTAATTTCAATTGTTGAGATCATGAGTCAATTGAAGCTAGCTACCTGAGGAATCCCACAATAGGACGAAACGGTCGTCCAGTGCTTTCAGCTTTTCCATGGTGGTCTAGCATTATTTGACTCATGAACTCAACAATTGAAATAAAATATTGTTTATATATACATCAGTTTTTATGGGAAGCGGATTCACATCGTTGGATGTGAAGTAAACTTTGTCTAGAAAAAGTAAAGATAATATGTGACTGTTGAGTACCAAGAGAACTCTGCAAGGATTTGAAAATTCAAGTCAACATTTTAAACACTCAAACATCGTTACATGTGACAAGAAAAATTCCTGGAAATATTATCTCCATGTTAGTTTCATTACACATCTTCTTCATTGCCTTAGTCAGTTTATCTCGTGGTTCATCACAAAATGGTATCTTCATTGAGCTGTATCTCCAGATAGAGAGGCTTCATCGTTAGATATATCAACGTTGAATTGCATTTAGATAAAAAGGAACATATCCTATAGAAATAAAACTGTTGACTTTTTTTTCTTCTGATAACTAACAAATGAGAGTGTCTTCACGACGCACCAAGAAAAGAATTTGACTTGATTAGCTACCAAAGATGTAATAAACAGAATGGTACTCTCATCATCCTGTTCAATGCTTCTTGGTTTTCAATGACAATCAAAGTTTATGATGTATACTATTAAAATTTAACAATCTCTTAAAAGCCCTATACTAAGAAGAAGAATCATTTATAAAATGACAAGAGATCATATTCAGTAAATATCCCCTTCTCAAAAATGGACTTTGCTAACAAGACATAACTTCATGTACTTAGAAATTGGAAAAAATTACAATCTAGACAATATGGATAGTTGTAGTGTGAGCTACTTATATCCACATAAGTAGTATATAGTAGTGGTCAGAAATAGAATGTATTTCAGTAGAAGATAGAGAAGGAAACGTTCAAATTGCCCCAACTGGTGATCTTGTTCACTACATATATAGTATGCTGGAAACTAGAAACATTGACATTTCGGTCGGTTATTCATTAGAATAACACAAAACTTTACGAATCTGAAACTATATGGAAAAGGATACTACGGCTGATATTAAAAATTTTCATTTGATTAAATAGATTGAGGAACCGTATGATGAATTTTGATTCTTAAATTTTTATGGAAAATTCCACAAAACGTTAATTGGATAGAAACGTAGTTACATGTATTTTCTAAACACTAATACATAGATTTCGAACAACAGATTGATTTTAAAAAAAACACGATATATTGTCTTAGTATAACTTACCCTTACATAAACTTAGTCAGTTAAGATATCTGACATTCATTCAGTGAGCTCAAGGTTCGAACACCGTATCACATAGGTTTGGACAACCAGATAGCATCATTAGACCTCATACTTAGAGTATAGTTCATATATGAGTGTCTGGTGAATGAGTTAATTATTTACAATTACTTATAAATTACTAGAACCAAACCTTTAGAAGGACCTCGCAGATGATCTGGCCCTCCTATCGCAATCGCAACAACAAATGCAGGAAAAAACGACCAGTGTAGCAGCAGCCCCAGCAGCAGTAGATCTCAACATACACAAAGGGAAAAGCAATATTCTTCGATACAACACAGCATGCAACAATCCAATCAAAATTGACGGAGACGATTTGGAAGATGTAAAAACCTTTACATATCTAGGCAGCATCACTGATGAACAAGGTGGATCTGATACAGACATAAAGGCTGGGATTGGCAAAGCAAGAGCAGCATATTTACAACTGAGGAACATCTGGAACTCAAAACAACTGTCTGTCAACCAACACCAAAGTCAGGATTTTCAATACAAATGTCAAGACAGTTCTACTATATGGGGCAGAAACCTGGAGAACTACGAAAGACATCTTCCAGAAAATACAGTTGTTTATTAACAGTTGTCTACGCAAAATACTTCGGATCCGTTGGCCAGACACTATTAGCAACAACCTACTGTGGGAGAGAACAAACCACATCCCAGCGGAGGAAGAAATCAGGAAGAAGCACTGGAAGTAGATAGGACACACATTGAGGAAAGCACTCAACTGCGTCACAAGACAAGCCCTCACATGGAATCTTCAAGGCTAAAGGAAAGAGGAAGACCAAAGAACACATTACGCCGAGAAATGGAGATCGACATGAGAAAAATGAACAAGAATTGGATGGAATTAGAAGAGAAGGTCCAGGACAGAGTGGGTTGGAGAATGCTGGTCTGCGGCCTATGCTCCATTAGGAGTGACAGGCATAAGTAAGTAAGTAAGTAATCTTTATAAGAGAAGCATATTTACAAGAATAACATACCTTATTCAACATTAATTTATCCAATAGTAAAAGAAGACAATCTCTTTCAGATGCAAATGTTGTACGATCTAATAAATAAGTAAGTAATGGAATATCTGTAATTGGACCAATCTCATGATGACATCGGTGATATACAACTGACATAGCATGTAAGCATAAACAACGCATTGTAAGACGACGTAATGTATTGGGTGTTAAATTGTTACAATCAGTTGTATAACGTTTAATAGAATTATCATTAATGGAATAATATGGATCCGATGCAACATATTGAAGGTAACGTCGAAATAATTCATTGAAAAATGCAGTACTATAAGGTGAAAATAATGTACACGAACAAGGACATAGTAACAAATCATAAGCTTAAAATGGTAACTAATTAAGCAAGACTAAATCAGATCGATCAGTTTTATTAAAAGATATATAGAATACACGTGCAAATCTACCATTTCCATTACATCACAGTGAAATAAACATAAAAACTGTAATAATCAACATATTTTTGTTAAATATTCAATGATTCCATTGGTTAATGTCATATCGTATTTTGATCATCTCTAGACGTGGTAGCATTATATTCGAATGTCCATCGTCTTGTCTCGATTGACCTAGCATTCATAAGATCACTCTGCCAGGGAAGCCTTACTCATTGCCTTCTCGTGGCGGGGGTGTTGTTTACGAAATTGAGAGGACGAAAAGCGAATGTCCGGTAGGGGCTTTAACCGGGTTAGGGGACACGGAGATTTTAACTAAGGGAGTCGGAAAACCCTCATTCCAAACCAATGATGCACATGATCCCCAGTATCCTGAAGGAATAAATGATGTATAAACTAACCGTAGATCACCGGCTACCATGGGACTGCATCTCCTGATGTTGCCCCACTGCCTTGTGGATCAGACCTTTAGGTCGATGTTGAATATTCCTTGTTTAATTTCAGTTTTATGAATTATATTTATTTGAAAACAATTTATATCGAAAACTGACTTCGGTTCGACAATAACTGAAAACAAGGAGTAATTGAACAACTGTTTCAAAACTAATATCAGACTCTTTGGAAGGGACGCATACACATGTCGACTAGAGATCTAACCCCTTTAGGCTCAACGATTCCAAATTTCTGTGATTAAACCCTCAATGTTACAGAACGACCAGTTATTGCTATCGACGTCATCTGTGTCACTCCTGACACAGTTGAACTCCAATAGTGGTGGTTTTACATTAAAACTTTGATAGTTTTCCGTTGGGTTGATCTGTTGTGAGTACAAGACTATGATTGGGAAACTCACTAAACACGAAGTCTGAATCTTTTAGATCGAATGACTGACGGAATCGTGAATGGACACTGTTGAGGAGATCTGCAATAGGATGAAACTGCTATTCATTCATCATTGGGTTTCACTAGTGTTTGAGCTCAAGTTAGTTCATGATGTAACAAAAATATCTCCACTAATCTCTATAAACGGTATCATAAACATTTATTTACTTACCTATCACGAATACGTGATAGACCCATAGATAACACATTAGTTGAATTTGCATTAGTCAATGTAGTTGCATCAATTACTTCATTCACATGTCGATCTTCTTCAAGTAATAAACGTAAAAAATAGTTGCCAACACGTGGTTCTTCGATTAAACTTGGATAATTCACTTTAAATTCTCTATAATTCCATGAAACAAGACTTGCCTATCATAAAATCATTGAGAGTAAACAAACAAATAGAGGAAATCAATTTACGTGAAACTATAGAATTAAAAAAGAAATAGTAAGTACGAAAGTACAACTATGTAAAATACTTTCAACCCCTTTAATGAAGAGCAGAGCATGGTAACAATTTATAGTTTCGCATTATAATATCGATAACTCATATTAACAAGTCGGTAGAGACTATTGGGTTCCGGTAGCGTATATCAAATAAATATTATGTACGGTAAATCAATTCAGTGAACTCGAAACACACAGTGAGCTAAGGTAATTTAAACGTGTATTGATAAAGTTGACATAATGATTATGAGCATTGATAGCGTATAATGTAAACGGTAAAGGCGATGAATAACATTAGATAGTGACGCAAAAAATCAATAAGTTGACAGGGGTTAAAAAGATATCAGTTAATGAAATAATAGTGGAAAAACGATGATACATAGTCCAAAACAAAAATGAAATGGACCTTTATTTATGAAAGTGATCTACATATCCATGCTTCACCACTGTGAGTTGGTTAGCATCGAGGTAAACTAAATCAAAATACAGTGCCAATTTATAAAGTATTCAACTGTTAAACTGATCTATGATCAAGTCTAATGATGTAGACTTCACAATAGACAATGTTGATATAATCATAATCTGTATTAGAGCCTTGAATATATGATAAAGATTACTAGACTCTAGTCCGCTGATGCTTGTCAATATTATTCCTGTTACGTCCCGATAAGCATAATGAATGGTAACTTTGGGGATCCATTTATGGACCAATACTATGCATATATTTTGTATTTTATAGTTGTTAGGTAACTAAACTATCCATATCCGTGTTCCCCTTATCGTAAGCTTTACTTTGACCTATGAACTAGTATTATACGATTTACCGTTCTTGAATTATACCCTGTCTATTAACTACTACCTCCCACATTCACAGCCACATTTGGCCAAATCTTTTACAAATGTTGTTTCCTATTTTATGGTGTGATGTAGTCTGTCTGGTTGATATGTAAACTCAGTATGCTTGAAATACATGATTTATATTGCAGAGGTTGAGATTGGTGTTCTGGACTTAACAGGTAGAGTTAGGCAAGGAGAATGACCTATAAAGACTTTAAACTATTCATACGGGTTTTACGCATCATTGATCCGATCGATAATTGGTGGTATACATATACATTAACAGAGTATACAGGCCACAAGTTATAAGAATTTCCTAATCACTAAGCTAATATTTCAGACTATAAAAAAATTCTTTATATGATTATTACCATGAAGTAATTTATAACAAATTTATATAAAATCTAAATCTATACATAGATATACCTGATTAATTAAATGATCCGCTTGTATTCTAGTTGGACTAACTGATGTTCGTGTTCTTCTATTAAGATTTGATGATCTTGATAAAGTTTGTGTATCATTATGATCATTAGAATTTTGTATTTTCGATGAATTCAATTTAATCTCTTTATCATCATGTTTATCAAATTGATTAGTTTCTATAGTAGATTGAAGATGATCCATTGTGGATAATTGTGAATGTTCATTCATTGTCCCATTATTATTATTATTATTATTATTATTATTATTATTATTATTATTATTATTATTATTATTATTATTATTATTATTATTATTACAGATATTTGGTGTACTTTGAGCTTTACTAGTTAAACCAATTGGAAATATACGTTCAGCTTGACCAGTACCAATTGGTTCAGATCGATCAAAATCTGGTAGATCTGATTCTTCTAAACGACTTTGTGCAAAATAATTACGTTCTTGTTGAAATTCTTGTAATTCTTTCTCCATTGATTCACGTAATTCATTTCTTGTCTATTTTTATAGAAATCAAATTACAACTAGAATAATCACTATAAACTCATTCAATAAAATTGATGAATAAAAGAGTACAGATAGATGAAGTATACATTGTAATCTAAAACCATGTGAATAGACATTAAATGTTGTGAACACTCAGTTACGATTATTGAAAACGATTAAGGTATTTAAACACAAACTTTCGTACAAATATATATGTGCCACATTTCGTCAGTTGATTTGTTTGAGGCCCAGAATACTGTTCACGTGGCCAAACCGAAGCAGGTGGTTTACTTAGGTGACATCCTGAGCTTTTGACCTGAAAGTCTAATCCATAATGTAGTGAAGCAACGTCTAGAGATTCTGTCCTATGATAGCCGGTGACCAACAACAGCTTCATACGCCATTTGTTCCTTCAGGATTTTGAAACTCATGTGCACCATAGATTTGGAATCAGGGTTTTCCAACTCCCTTAGGTGGATCCTCTATATTCATTCATTGAAAGCGATACAATATGATAACTGTTTTTATTATTATCGATGGTGTGTTAGTGGATTGTTTGTTGTTTGATTATGAAGAGATATTCATATGAAGCTTAAAGACAATCTTCAGAAGATATTCAACTCAGAAACTTTAACTCCCACGGCAAGTATGCTAATTCTAATTCCTATCGACAGAACATTTGCGATGATAATATGAAGCACAAATAATGTTATCGTCGGGTGCTATAGTCCTACTCTGGAAGTGGCTACATTTAAAGATAACATTTTCTCACTTGTTGTCTAAAAACTCAATCACTAAACTATTCATGACGGTTTTTTACACGTAAGGTAATTCATTTGATATTGTTTTACTTGAATCTTCTCATTGATGTTTTAGGACTGAAATTGATCAGTCTATTATTGGCATATGTGCATACTGTGCGTATGCCACGATATTGCCTTAATTTACAAGCATAATAAGCAAAGATGGATAGTGGTTAGCAGTGGAATACAGGACGCGCGTTTCGCCCTGTTTGGGACTCGTCAGCTGGATGTACCTGGACCTTAGAGTTCATGTTCACTCTGGGACTCGAACTCAGTACCGTTCGTTTCAAACGCCATCGCATTATCCACTTAGCTACTGAGCCCTGATACGTAGGGTAATTTATGTTTTTTTTTAAGAATTGAGAAATGAAAAATCCATAAAATTGTTTGATATATGATACTTTGAATTAATTGATACATTGGTCAAGCTTAAAAAATAATAAATGTGCAATATATAACTGAAGTTATAATTTATATATGTTTGACTGGATAACATATTCCATTAAGTATGAGAACGCTAAACTCTTATCAGACCAATGACTATGGCATAATCAATGACGAAACTTGACTGACAATAAGTGATCGCGATTTTGAACATGAGGTGCTGACTGGTTTAATCATGACGTTTTTCAGCGCCTTTCTCCAACAACAAACACATCATCCTGATCTACGATTATTCTTCATCATCTCAAATGATTATGAGCAACGACTGAACAGAAATCCTGTGTTAACAATAGCAGATCTTTTTGCAAAACATCCAAGTCTGTTCTAGAACAGGTTAGGGTGTTGTATAATCGGATAAGTGAACCGGTGCTTCGTTCAAAACGTCATGTACCACTGTTTACACATCATTAATAAGACCAAATTCCTAAACCAGCCCCTCACAATTTTCAAAAAAATGGAATACCGATATAAGAAACCACAAAGCAGATTGTCGAGAGAATTTGAAATGGGACAATCAGTTATGGTGATGGACTTCTAATGTCCGAAGCTGACATAGGTATCCGTAACCACTTCAAGCAGGATAGTATCTACGAAGTAAAAGTCGAGAATATAAGATGAATACAATATGCTTACTAACTATAACCTACTAGACGGGATAAGGTTATAGAAGGCGATAACAACCCTGTTATTATGCCCCTCAATAGCTTAACCGATTTGAATATGGAAATTAAAATGAACCTGTGATTCTCTTGAAGATTATAAACCGATTTCGAAGTAGGTCAAATCAAATCAAAAGACTCTTATGACTGATACTATAATTAATGCTCAGAAAAAAAGGCATTGAAACGGATTAGATATGAAGTCATATGGAGCTTACAGAACTATTCTATGTTGAATTAACTGACCCACTTTTAACATGTAATTCATGTAGTTCATGACATTTTCATACTAGTTTATTATTTATAGGCTTTGATTTAATGTATAAGTCGTTTATATACGTTTTGCCATCCCTGAATTATTGTTGATTAATTACGGATCCATTCAAGTATAGTATAAAACGTAGGTGGAAGTAAGTGACAATATCAATTCCATTCTTTGAGCTTTTGGTAATTAAAAGTGATTAGCAGAAAACTCGGGAGCTCTTGGCTTTCTACTGCTTTGGATTCGTCAGAAAGGTATTATTTGTCTGCCATTAGATGTGACTCGTGAAACCAATGGTGGGTCATTTCTCATACTACGTCACTGGTTGAAACTTGCTACAATTTATGCACAGTATCAGTTACCTAAAAAGTATTAATTAGCTCTGCCAATAACTGGCAGTCAGAGCAAAATTAACAACCGTTGGTTCTTCACAAATGCCTCTGTCCGTCTACCACCAAATAAGTAGCACTATTGAAACCAAGAAACCATATAAGTTAGACAACGATTAAAAACCTCCAAGTAATAGGACGGCTGGTTCATATTAATTTGGGAATACTCAGCACTGCGTACCCACGATCCTACAACCCAGGACGTTCGGCATAGTGCCTCTAGACTACTAAAACGCGATCCAGTGTTGTCCAAATCTAACTTTAATCAATTCGCAATATTGCCCGTTAGACTTAAACACCATTAGATACTTAGATTAATGGTCTAAAGGTCAAGTGTTCAGGCACAAGACGGAAGATCATGGATCCGATTTCCGGTTGAGGGATCATGTTTGTACAATACTGAGGAGTCCCATGCTAAGATGAAACAGCTGTACAGAGATGTCAGGTTTTCAGTGGTTGTTCAAGTTAGATCGGTCCATGATTTCAATTAAATTCAACAGCTTCCATAACCTCCTCCCTATTGACAAATCGTACTATGATGTCTTCCGGTAATATTGGCCAAAACACAGCTTAGTTTGCATAATTTATCTGACTCGAACAAAATATTAACAGAATATAAAGATATAACTCGTTCTCCACCATAGTGATAAAAACTTACTCGTATAGTCCAAATTAAATCAGCTTTAGCATGATCCTGCTGAAATTGATAGAAAAATAAACGCCAATTAGTTGTCGGTTTACAATTAACCGAATCACCGCGTAATGATTGAAGTAGATGACGAGGTCGACGTAGTACAACAGGACGTTCTTCAGCTTCTTTTATATGATTTTGTTTTCCAATCTATCAGAAAATAAATCGATCATGTTCAATTGAAGTAAACAAGACTAAATTAATTAAAACGATAAGTGTTTTTTTAAAGTGTATTACATGAAGTGAATAAACTTACAGCAGGTTGTTGTTACGAATTAGTTAAATAATCAATAAATCTTCACAAAAACAAAATAATCAATATGATCAGGTATCGATGAAAATGGTAATGATCAACAGATAACATTGGATAAAGTACGTTGACAACAAATACCATTGTTAATCATCCAGATTCTTATTGACTTAATAAGGACCTGAGTGATGTGATTGTTAATAATTAATTGGTTATTAAGAATGGAACTTGTGATACACATAATTTAAAATATTTAAGTAGTGGCTAACGGTAGAATCTCGGATGCATGTTTTGTCCAATGCGGAGATCATTAATTGTACATGTCTTTACCTTTGTTTTGATGTCAACACTGAGACTCAAACTCAGTATTCACAGCTTTAAATAGTAACACAGAAAAAGAGATTAAACATCCAAGATGGAAAGACTATAATCTATGGGGGGAAATAATCAGATTTAGAATAACAGGTCTTGGATATTAGTGTGAAATTCATCCACTAATTTGACTAAATAGCGTTTTGACATGTTAGCTGATGTCAGTTCGTGATGAAAACCCTAAATCTAATTCCTAATACAAACGCCATCAACTGTGAACTATTGGTTTATAACCGTCATTTAGCCCCAGTAAGTAGGTGGATATTTTCAAGGTCACTTTAGTGTCGTCCATAAATTATAGTCTTACCGTAACCATACATGGTGTGACTATAAACAATATCATCTAGCATTTAGACATCGCTGGAGACATAATTCATGTAAATTTAATAACTTACTACTTTAGGAATAGGAAGACCAACACGTAGACGCCAATGTGTTAACAAATCATCAATTTTTGATTCTAATTGATATGAGATAGTTTGTTTACGTTCTTCTATACGCATCATATGTTCCTGTATAATACGGAGAAATGGAAAGAAAGAGAATGGAAAAAAATTGAACAAATATGACAGGCAAATTCAATATTTCCTTGGATAGTGATATAAAACGAACTAATATATTAAACCTGTTTGTCAGAACTATGTACTAGTAGTTTATGATGAAAATAATCTTTTCAGGTAAACAATTAATTTGTATGACTTCAATAAACATTTCTAGTATATTAATTACAGGAATTGTTGTCACCTAAAACTATCTGGTTATTAGTTTGAGTGAAACTTAAACTCTTAAGACGCTAAAGATCAATTCTACAATAGGCTGCAGTCAATCGTCGAGAAGTGCCCAACAAAGGATCTGACTATTCTGATGGGAGATTTCAATGCCAAGGTTGGAATGGATAACACTGGATATGACGACATCATGAGACGACACGGACTGGGAGAAAGGAACGAAAATGGTGAGAGATTTGCAAACCTATATGCTTTCAATAAACTGGTCATAGGTGGCACCATATTCCCACATAAATGCATTCACAAAACCACATGGACTTCACCGGATCACTCTACACAAAACCAAATCGACCATATTTGCATCAACAAAATGTTCAGGAGGACTATAGAGGACGTGAGAACCAAGTGAGCAGCTGATATAGCATCAGATCATCACTTGCTGGTCGCCAAGATGAAATTGAAACTCAAGAAGCACTGGCCAACGGGGTGGACAATATCACAAATGTTCAATACGGCCTTTCTTCCGGATACTGACAAACTCAACAAATTCAAGATAGTCCTCAGCAACAAGTTCCAGGCCTTTCATGATCTACTCAATGGAGAAGGAACTACTGTGGAGAGCAACTGGAAGGGGATCAAAGAGGCAATCACTTCAACATGTCATGAGGTCCTGGGTCACAAGAAGCACCATCACAAGGAATGGATCACTGTTGATACACTGGGTAAGATTCAAGAAAGGAGGAACAAGAAAGCAGCAATCAATACCAGCCGAACAAGAGCAGAAAAAGCCAAGGCACAAGCTGAATACACAGAAGTAAACAAGCAACTGAAGAGGAATGTCAGGACCGACAAACGTAAATATGTGGAAGAGTTAGTAACGACGGCGGAAAAGGCTGCAAGAGAAGGAAACATGAGACAATTGTATGACACGACAAAGAAACTCTCTGGAAATTGCCGCAAACCGGAACGACCAGTGAAAAGCAAGGAAGACGAGGTAATCACCAACATTGAAGAGCAACGAAACAGGTGGGTAGAACACTTCAAAGAACTCTTGAATCGACCAGTCCCACTGAACCCACCCAATATCGAAGCAGCACCCATGGACCTCCCAATCGATGTTGGCCCACCAACAATTGAAGAAATCAGAATGGCCATCAGACAAATCAAGAGTGGCAAAGCAGCGGGACCAGACAACATTCCAGCAGAGGCACTAAAAGTAGACGTAGTGGCAACTGCAAGGATACTCCACATTCTCTTCAATAAGATTTGCGATGAGGAACAAATACCAAAAGACTGGAAAGGACTTCTGATCAAAATACCGAAGAAAGGCGATCTCAGCAAGTGTAATAACTACAGGGGCATCACTCTTCTCTCAATACCGGGAAAAGTCTTCAACAGGGTATTGTTAAACAGGATGAAGGACTGCGTAGACGCCCAACTTCGTGACTAACAGGCAGGATTCCGTAAGGATAGATCGTGTACAGATCAAATCGCAACTCTACGGATCATTGTGGAACAATCAATTGAATTGAATTCATCACTCTACATCAACTTCATTGACTATGAAAAGACATTTGATAGCGTGGACAGAACAACACTATGGAAGCTTCTTCGATTTTCAACACAAATGTCAAGACAGTTCTACAGTATGAAGCGGAAACCTAAAGAACTAAGAAAGCCATCTTCCAGAAAATACAGTTGTTTATTAACAGTTGTCTACGCAAAATACTTCGGATCCGTTGGCCAGACACTATTAGCAACAACCTACTGTGGGAGAGAACAAACCACATCCCAGCGGAGGGAGAAATCAGGAAGAAGCACTGGAAGTAGATAGGACACACATTGAGGAAAGCACTCAACTGCGTCACAAGACAAGCCCTCACATGGAATCCTCAAGGTCAAAGGAAAAGAGGAAGACCAAAGAACACATTACGCCGGGAAATGGAGACAGATATGAGAAGAATGAACAATAATTGGATAGAACTAGAAAAGAAGGCCCAGGACAGAGTGCGTTGGAGAATGCTGGTCTGCGGCCTATGCTCCATTAGGAGTGACAGGCATAAGTAAGTAAGTAGTCTTTAGAAGGGAAGCATATTTACAAGAAGTAAGTAATTGTAAGCAAAGATGGATAGTGGATAACAGTGGGATACAGGACGTGCGTTTCATCCTATTTGGGACTCGTCGGCTGAATGTACCTATCACGTGCCAGAGTTGATGTTAACTCCAGAACTCAAACCCAGTCCCGTTCGCGTTATGCACTTAGTGAACATCAACTCTTGGGCGCAGGTAAATCCACCTGAGGAGTACCAAATAGAACGACACGTGCGTCCTGGATTCCAATGCTAACCAATACCTATCTTTTCTTAGAATGCTTGTGAATTAAGGCAATACCGAGGCAATACGCACAGTATACACATATGCCAATAAGAGACTGATAAATTGAAGTCCTAAATATCAATGAGAAGATTCAAGTGAATCAAACATTAATTGGTTTTACACCATGAATTAATGATATAAACTGATATCATTATTAGAAATAAGAAAGAGTAATGAGCAGCATTAATTCTATTTGCAAAACCTGATGGAGGGTAACGATGGTCTTCTACATGAACTAAAACTCAATACGTTAATGTATCGTAAAATTTCCATTCGCAGGTGTAGATATGTAATACTCAAAAGTTTCAAAATAGGATGTAATCTCTGCTTGGCATTTTTTTTATTTTCAATGTGCTTTTGCGGTTGAACGTCCGTATTAAAAACTTCTGTTATGTAGAACGAAGAAATTGTGGTTAGCAGTGAATTAAAGAATGAACACTTCGTCATATTCGGGACTCATGGGGTAGAAATGCTTAGATCCTAGAGTTGACGTCCACACAGAGACTCAAACCCAACACCTTTCTTTTTAAACCTCCAACATAGTAACTCTGTATATAGTACATTCAGCTTTTGAGGAAAAAATTACTGAGTTTGAGTCGCGTTGTGGACGTCGACACTGAGATGGAAGTATACCCAGTCGATCAGTTCGAAACAGGACGAAACTGTGCGCGTTATGGATTCTAGTGTTAGCCACAAATCCGTCTTTTGTATAACAAGTTGTCAAAGACGGTTATATCAAGACAATTTGCACAGGATGCACATATATCAATAAAGTTTGATTAAAACTCACTAAAGATTATCAGCAACGGGATGATTCACAACCCTTTCAGTAATAATACATAAATAGAATAGTTTCTAATGTCTTGTTAAATCCATCTGTATGGGGGTGTACATTTAGTTACACTGTCAGCAAATTATTAACTTACATGTGGGTGAAAAAATGACGATAAACTTATCGATTTGACTTTTGTTTGTAATAAAGTGAACGAACAAACATAAAATGCATCTTAACTGGTTTATTGAAAACCAATAATTCAAGTCTAACTAAATAATGAAAATTAAATATTGTGAAATCGATATTTTGTTGCCAGCTTAAGATTCCCCCCTCCATCAGTAAATAGATCTCTACTTTTTTTCGGGTTTGTAAATAAAGACATTTCACTACTAAATGTCATTACACTGTAGACAATAGTAAGAGTTCAGTTATTTTATGAAAATGTTCTCAAATGGTTGCGTATTTATAGTCTTGTCCTGTTAGGTCCTACAGACTTTCTAAGCATAATATAGGTGTATCTGTAAAAATGAGGAAGAGAAGAAGAAGAAGAAGAAGAAGAAGAAGAAGAAGAAGAAAGCGGACCATCATGGCTGGAATGGGATTGAAAGAGTTAGACATTTAAACAATAGGAGTTATAAAATTTTGACGGGGTAGATATACCAATATATGTAACGACAGCCAATCATGACTTCGTCACAGAGTTATCGCATAATATCATCTCATTGGTAAAACTGTGAATTCGCTAATAATGATTTCGTAGGCGATGATAAATATCCTATAATGGTCAAGATTTGAAACTTCGATGGATAGTTTGGGTGGAATTTCATTCTCTTAGCTCAGTGGTTTACCCTTGAAGCTTTGATTATTCTCCACCATAAGCACGAACATCATGCTGAAGTGGGTTATTCGCATTTCTACAAGTATGACTGACAGCTTGTCCTGTAGATCATGATGTTGATTGATCACTGATTACATGTTATCCAAAAGGACAATGAAGAATACACGATTAAATTATTCAGTTCGGATTACGAAACTTCACCAAAAACAAGAAAGACAAAATACACTTACATGAGCTAATTGTAAATTATCACGATCTGGTAACATATTGATAAGTTTTACAGGGGGTTCCTCGGTTGACTCTAGGAATGACAGTAAACCTAATGGCTGAAATTAAAAAGAAAGAAATTATATCAAACTGCTTGAGAAGTGTACGTAAGTCGTTTGTAAACCAATAGACCAAGTGTAGTACTGTAGTTTGATCACACTTTGACGCTTAATACGACATTGGGTTACATATAGACTATCATTTTGATGCAAGCGATGAATAAAAGGAGGAAAAGCGATCAACTTACAAACTAGGTTCCATGGAAGTTGGGATTAATCAGCGATCATAGGAAAGCTGATTCTCCTAGGTGGATTCAAATTTGATTCACTTAGTCTCAATGATCAATAAGTGTAAATAATTATTCTATAGGAAGTCAGTCAACTGCAGATTGAGTGCCTCAGTGATAGCAACTCAGACTTTGCAACTGGTTGATGCAGGTTTAAAACTATCAGAGAGCATTAGTATCCATAAGAATGTAGTTACTCTTTGCTGATGAGTGCAAAATGCCCCAAAACATGAGTCCAATGTTTCGTGTCAGTCATTTCCAACCGTATAAAAACAAAAAACTGTCCACTCAATGTGAATTCCCTAACATTGGTGACCACAATTTCAATCGACCAATCAACATTAAGATGCAGGAAAAAAAGGCATTGGTCACAACTCAGTGATTAATCCATGTAAACATATAAGGCAAAATGATTATCTCAAATTTGCTAACAACCTTTCAAAAATGCATTTGTTATTATAAAACGGAATGCATATAATGTCGATAGGATACTGATCTTAATAGATATTAAAATACAGTGATTGATGATCGTTAATTGGGAAGTAATCACGAGAATTCACCCCCAAATTCCCTTGTACAGTCGAAGGTGGGGAGAGTCAACTCTCCTTCTCCAAATGCTCTCACATGACCACGCAGATACAGTCATTTTCATGGAAGTCCTACTCGCTGCCTTCTCGTGGCGGAGGTAATTGTTTATGAAATTGAGAAAGCGAAAAGCGAATATCCAGTGCATTACCCGGGTTGGTGGACACCAAGAGTTTACCTAGGGGAGTTAGAAAACCTTGATTTCAAATCTGTGGTGCACATGGCCTGCAGGATGCTGAAGGAAAAAATTGCGTATGGACTTATTGTTGGCTACCGGTTACCATGGAACTGAATCTCCAAACGTTCCCTCACTGTCTTGTGGATTAGACCTCTAGGTCAAAGGCTCGGAAGATGATCCCTTAAGTAAACCACCTGTTTCGGTTCGGGCCTCACACAAATCGATTGACGAAATGTGGCACATATATATTTGGTGCTTCAATGTACTAAAGTTTATGTATTTAAAATAAAATAAATAGAATTCGCTCGCATACGCGATAGCATCAACAAATAGGTAACGTTGATAATGAGGTTTACAGATTGTTTTCTTTCAACACAACAAAGATTAAAGCAATCTATGAAATGATGAGCTTGTATGTGAACGATAACACATATTACATAACTCTAATATCGAATAAGTGTTGGGATGATCCAGGAAACTTCTCGCAAAAGACAAGAAAGGCTCAGGGAAACACTAAGAAGCATTTCATCCAATCAGCGTTCACCTGAAGTTTAGCCAGAAACATCAAGAATGTGAAAAGTCACATGTAGAGTTTCTGAATGGCTGATTACTATACTGCTACTATGTTTAGTAGCATTCTAGAATCTTCGGGAAACCCAAAGACAACTAAAATATTATAAAAACCCTACATTTTCTGTACTAGAACGAATCTATGGAGTAAAGCACTTCTCCCATATTTTGCGCCTTTTCTCTCGTGTTCAGGTCGCTGTGTAGGTCTAACTTGGGGTTACGAGAATAGCTTAGGAACCGAATATAGCATTCAATTAGCAAGACTTATCAATGAGTGATCCCAATTGATGTTAAGTGAAATTAGACAAAACCAAAGTATGATTAAACAAAGTCATAATATTTAAATCAAATTCAATATGAAGTAGGAGTCAATGACGTTATGTAGAAAGACTACACAGTTCAAAGAACAGAATCACAAGCAAAAATCATTGAATTGACAAGGTGTACGTATACACAATTATGTCTAAAGATAAGTATTATAGCCTAAAATTAATGACCATAATATGAATACTACAACACTTTATTTTGCTTTTATTACACACATATGTTATTGTCATTTAAATTTAAGAACTTTTGAATATAATCAGATTTTCTGATGTGAATAGAGAAACAAAGAAGTCATGACAAACAACAGAAGCTATGTAAAGAGACGTTATTTCATTTAAATCAAAGAGTGTAAAACAGTAACATCTACTTTTGTCCCTAGTCTATTCAACAGACCATAAGCTTTCGTTCGATGTATGATTCAATGAAATAGCCCTTTCTTTTCCAAAGCTATTGTAATTTGAACGTAATCTTTTGTATTCTATTTTCTTACCGCAATGCCCGTTTAAGAGATAATTGTATTTTCCTTATTGTTTGTACATTGTGGTCATGTTAGTCATCTATGTTCTTCATGTATGTTTTTGCAGTAATCTGAATGGGAATCGGGAACCGAGAATAAATTGAGTAGTGTTTCAGTCGACTCGTCTTTTTTTGTCTCTCTCTCTCGCCTTCACTTGTAAACCAATCAGGTGATAGAATAGTCTTCGTCTTTCTACTCAAGGCAGTTAGTCTCGATTCGGAATCAGATATTTCTAATCTTAAGGTGAAAATAGTTAGCCTATCGTATCAAGGTCTTAATCTAAACCGAGACAAATTCTCTCCTGTACATTATTGGGTAGACAGGTCAATGACGTAACATTTTCTGTTTAAGTATTGTTCTGATCACATATTGAGAATAAGAGATAATTGTTAATAATGAAGTCAATTATGAATAGTTTACTGATAAGAACTAGCAATTGAACACAAAGACCCTATTCAATGTTGTCAAATATTCTTCAAGTTAATCCTCCTCTAGACTTTTTCTTCAAACTCCATCACGAGGCAAGACCTAACTTGGAATCCTGAAGGGAAATGGAAAAGAGGAAGGTCAAAGAACACATTACGTCGGGAAATAGAAGCAGATATGAAAAGTATGAATAACAACTGGAAGGAGCTAGAAAGGATTTCCCAGGACAGGGTTGGATGGAGAATGCTGGTGAGCGGCCTATGCTCCCTCACGAGGAATAACAGGCGTAAGTAAGTAATACTATTTCTTCATAGTTAGCTTGAATATAATTTCAAACGAAATTACATAAATGCATGTAAATAATTATAATCACAACGTGTAATAAAACATAATCACTTACAAGCATTCTTTTAAATAAATCCCATGCATCTTGATTATTTTCAGACCATAATGCAACTAATTGACGACTAAGCTGTCTTGTTCACCACCCATCCAACCCAATCGAATACAATGAAGTGACATATCAAGATAAAAAGAAAAGGGAATTGAAAAGAAAACCAAAACTTTTATCAGTAGTAATCAGTAATATCAGTCATGTTGATAAATTAAAGACATACAGTAAATGGTCAAATGTCAGAAAACGTTATATCAGGTATGATTGTTTAGTTAGTTAAGCTTCAAAATATTAAATTGGAGTGGAAAGAAGTCTTTAAATTGTTTGTTGTTGAAATTTAAGACTGTAATTGATACATCTTTGTTATGATATGTTCCCCTCCTTAGCAGATTACTTTGACATATGTTTTAATGTATTGTCATTGTGAATAGGAATGGAATCGAAAGATGAACATTTCGAACTGCTTCAAACTCATCACCTATTATTCATACATATTCAAGTGCTGATGTTTACACTGTAACTGTGCTTGTGATTTAGTATCTTTCACTTAAACGTTAATACGTTTGGCTATCTGAACTCGGTAGCTCAGTGCATAATGAGTTGTTGTTTGAAATGGAAGATATCAGGTTCGAGTCCCGACGAGGAAATGCACATTAAGATCCGCACTTCTACTTATATTTAAGACTGTAATTGACCAAATTCTTCTGACATACATGCATCATGTGTGAATGACCTCAATATCGAATGGCATGATACCCTCCTTGAAGCAAATGTAATCATGACTAGACGTTACATGCAAATACACATAACCGTCTTATTCAATTATGGGGTTAACAACTACACGAGATAATTTTCTTAACGAAGAATGTAAAGGAGATTTCATATATCGTACAATAAAACTACCTCAGCTGGAGAAAACGCAAACTATAGTTGGACGAACAATTAGCTAGCATTTATTCACACCTAAAATGTATACAACAGTCAAACGACAGTTATCGAAATCCTGACGAAATGTAGAAAATTTACTAATATGTTTATGGGACGAAACGGCCGTCCAGTGCTTCCAGGTTTTCCATGGTGGTCTAGCTTCAATCGACTCATGATTTCAATCTGTGAAATTTCTAACATCTCCACAAACCTCTTGTGATAATATGTGTATCTTCTGTAAAAGTTTATAGAATACCATATTGCTTAGGGATAAAGAAACTCTGTTTTGAATCCTGGCGTGAAAATAGTCTTCATCGTCAAACTATAATTTGCATAAAACCTAGACGAATCTATTTATATAATACTATCCACAAAAGATTGAACTACTCAGTGGTAAAGTAGCTGCTGACTGCAAACGCCTTTCTCACAGATTAGGATTTCGCAAACAATCACAGAAATTTCAGCATGAATAGTATTATAATGTAACCGTGTTGGGTAGCATTTTGTTTGAGTAATCCTACACTGAACTTGATATTAGTCAACAACAAAGACGTGTTGTCTAAATGCTTGTTTAAACTAATACAAACTGTCAAATACTAAGACAAGGTTATACAGAATCATCAGAAGATCGATAGGGAAGAGGAACCGATAATAAGCCATAGATAACTTTGTACCACTGTACCAGTTGGGGTCGGCACAACTATCGTAACAAATGTTTAGAGACTCTGGGTGACATGGATCAGAATCGATCACATTGGCGTCAGTGTATACACTTTTTGTCTTTCCTTAAACCGTGAGATTAAAATCGCTTTATACCTTTATTTCTACCAACTAATCCTTTCTTCCTGTATTAAATATATCCTTATACATAATCTTTCTTTTACATATTACTAACATTGAAGTAGCTATTTCTATGAATTTGGTATTCATCTTGTTATGCTATTGGGGAGTGTGTGCTGAGCCATGTTAGTAGGTGAAGACTACCTGGTTGGAGACCGCGAGATGATAGCAACAAATGGTTAGAGACCCTGAATGATATGGCTCAAAATCGTTTGCAATGGCGCAGGTGCATCCACTCTTTGCGTTCTCCCAAATTCTAATCTTCTGAATTCTCCTTGTCTCTTTTTTTCCTCTTTCCAAATTTATTTCACTGGATTATACTCTTTAAATAACATCTCCAAACCTTAATCTTTCGGATTACAGCTTATACTCTTACTAACTCTACCACTACGGGATGTGAATGGACAACTGTATCTATGTGCTAATGTGGTGTGGTAACTCGAACTGATGTACGTGCGTACGAAGTTCTACATTGTTACTGACTGACTGACTGACTGAGGTGTGATAACTTGAGTTGACGCATACATGTGCCTGGTCTTATGTTGTAACAGACTGACTGACCAATATACCAATTACATACAGCCTGTGTAATGAATCTTCTATAATATTTTCAACAATCCGGTGTATAATTTCAAGCGATGGTTTGTTAAATTAGCAACTCAACTTTCACTAATGAAGATATTGGTTAAAACCAAAAAGTATCATGTTATTTATATCGTAAACTTTACGAAAAATCGTGTGATTAAAGGTTAAAATAACACGAATTTACTAAGTTGTATCACATATAACTTAAATATTGTCGGTAACATTCTCTACAGATTACCATCATAACCCATTGAGAATTGAACACCTGGTTCGTCTTAGCTAGGAAGTCTTCAGCATAAGGTACTCACAATCTCACAATAAAAAAGAAACAGACTTAGAATCTTCAGGTCTTCAAAAATACACACTAATGAATACTAGTTGTTACACAAAGTATTGAACTTATTAGACAAGAAAGTTATAATTTAGTAAATTCCGTATTATTCAATGATAATCACAATAATCATGAAGAAAAAAACATAATGATCAGAAGGGGTTTTGTGGAGATTTTACAAATTTCACTGATTGAAATCATGAGTCACTTGAAGCTAGACCACTATGGAAGGCCTGAAAGCACTAGACGACCGTTTCGTCTTAGTATGGGACTCCTCAGAGGTGCGCATCCACGATCCCGCACCCTGCGAGATTCGAACCCAGAACCTATCAGTCTCGCGACAGGCGCTTAACCAGTGGTCTAACTTCAATTGAATTATGTAACATGTGTTGACAATTTGATATTGGCATTCAAAAACATACTCTCACACGGCCGCGCGTATACAGCCTCTGCCAGGGAAGTCCTACTCATTGCCTTCTCGTGGCGGGGGTGTTGTTTACGAAAATGAGAGGACGAAAAGCGAATGTCCGGCGCTTTAACCGGATCACAAACCAATGGTGCACATGGGCTCCAGTATCCTGCGGGAACAAATGGCGTATGAACCAATCTTTGGTCACCGGCTACCATGGGATTGCATCTCCTTACGATGCTCCACTGCCTTGTGGGTTAGACCTTTAGGTCAAAGGCTCGGAGAGTGGCCCCCTAAGAAAACCACCTGCTTCGGTTTGGGCACCCGGGCAGTATCACAGCCCACACACAAACGATGAACTCTATGTCTTTGGCAACTACTTTTATCGCTTCGAAAAACAATCAGTCGATTCAAATAATTATCATTACTATTATTGTCATTATTAATACTATTATTATTACTATTATTGTCGTTATTATTATTATTATTATTACTATTATTATTATTATTATTTCCCACATTATTCACCCTCTTTTATACTTATACAGCGGCTCGTCTTTGGTGGAAAATCGACTGTATCTAAACGTTCTCGAGTCACTGTCCGGTTGAAAGTTGTATGTTACCATCGAATACGAGTACTGAAGCAGTTTTTCTGAAACCACGTGCGCCATTCAAACTGGCTGCCTTCAACGTTCGCACACTTATGCAGGTTGGTCAACAGATAGGGCTGGCTATGTCTTTGGAAAGTCTTAATATTGATGTTTGTTGTCTATCCGAGACCCGTATTCAAGACTCTAGCGAAGTACTACAAATTCGCTCTACATCTGTCACTTCAAAAAGCTTGTTTTACGTGCGCTTATCCGGGGACCCTGTGGCATCTTCGTCTGGTCTTGCTGGCGTTGGTGTCGCACTAAGCGCTAGAGTTGAGGCAGCACTAGTCGATTGGATCCCCATTAACAGTCGGTTATGTGCTGTTAGATTAGAAAGTTCCATCAAAGTGAGAAGAAATCGGCGTGAGAAACGGTGCCTTTTCGTCATCTCCGCCTATGCCCCGACAGATTGCAGCCCGGATGCAATCAAGGATGAGTTTTACCACCAATTATCTGTTCTTCTCCAGAAAGTGCGTTCGACAGATATTGTAGTACTAGCCGGAGACTTGAATGCTCAGGTCGGGCGTCTAGGCACAGAAGAGAGTCGTTTAGGTGGCCGATGGGGACTCGTTGGTCGCAGGTCAGATAACGGGGACCGTCTACTGCAACTTTGCACAGACCACAACCTGTTTCTGGCTAGCACTAACTTTCGGCACAGTCATCGCCGATGTGCCACCTGGCGTCCTCCCTCTGCATCCCAAGCCTGGACTCAGATTGATCACATCGCGATCAGCTACCGCTGGCGTGGTTGTGTAAAAGACTGCCACTCCTTTTGGAGTACCTATCTGGACTCTGACCATGCCTTGGTCTGCGCCAATCTTGCCTTACTTTTCAGTGGACAACGAAGTGACCGCCAGCAAAGGATTGATATTAGCAAGCTGGTTGCAACTTCTGTTGCAAATAAGTATCGAACCGAGCTAGCCTCTAGGCTAGCTACCACTCCACCGAAAAGTATAGATGAGCATTGGTTGCAATTGCATGACGCCATGAAAATGGCGGGAACAGTCAGTTGTGGGTTTGCGAAACGTCCCGCTTTTAAGCACTGGATTTCTTCTGGTTCCTTAAAACTCATTGAAGCCCGTCGGTCTACTCCGGGTGACCATGAGTTTGACCATAAACGAAGGATGTTACGTAAGAAAATCGGGCAAAGCTTGCGTAAGGACCGAGAAGCCTGGTGGTCGAAGCGTGCTAATGAGCTGGAAGCAGCAGCTGCATCTGGTAACTACCGGAAGCTCTTCCAGCTCATCCGAGCCACTGGCAGCAAGAAGTCTGGTGTGAGTGAAACAATCTGCGAGGATGATGGGATGCCAATCACTAACATCCATCGACGTCTTGGACGATGGGCAGAATTTTTCGAAGGGCAGTTCAACTGGCCTGCTGCTCCGGCAACATCGGTCAGACTGTCCTGCCCTCCATGGCCGGTGACGACTGATCCACCAAATGAGGAGGAAGTCCGCAAGGAACTCCAACTCTTGAAGCGCTACAAATCACCTGGCCCAGATGACTTACCTCCGGCTCTTTTTAAAGATGGTGGTGACTTTTTGACTAAGGAATTGACGACGTCGTTTACAAAGGTTTGGGAACTAGAGAGTGTACCAACGTCATGGAATGAGTCGATAGTTGTCCCTATCTTTAAAAAGGGTTCACGTCGTTCCTGTAACAACTATCGGGGGATAAGTCTACTTCCGATTGCGTCCAAGCTATTGGCTTCCGTCATACTTCGTAGGTTGTTCAAAACCCGAGAAAGATTGACTCGCGAGGAGCAGGCTGGGTTTCGTTCTGGTCGAGGATGTATTGATCATATCTTCACCCTCCGCCAAATGTTAGAACACCGTCATACTTATCAAAGGCCAACAATCGTAGTGTTTCTTGACATCAGGGCTGCCTTCGATTCGTTGGATAGGACTGTTCTCTGGGATTGTCTATTGAAGAAGGGTGTGCCTGAGAAGTTTATTAACATCCTAAAAGCCCTATATAAAAACACCTCAGGTAGAGTGAGGGCATACAACCACCTTTCTCCATTGTTCCATTCGAGTAGTTGGGTTAGGCAGGGTTGCCCAATCTCACCATTCCTCTTCAACTTTGCCATCGATGACATTCTGGAAACAGCTCTGATGAATGTAAGTAATGGTGGTGTGGATCTGTTGCCTGGAGAAAGACTTCTCGACCTTGAGTATGCGGACGATATTGTCTTACTGTGCGATAATGCCCAAGGCATGCAATCCGCACTTAATCAGTTGGCAATCAGTGTCCGTAGGTATGGTATGTACTTTGCACCTTCGAAGTGCAAAGTACTCCTACAAGACTGGCAGGATTCCAATCCTGTACTCACCCTGGATGGTGAGCAGATAGACGTAGTCGAGAAGTTCGTGTATCTGGGTAGCTGCATAAGTGCTGGTGGGGGTGTGAGTGATGAGATCAATGCATGTATAGTGAAAGCCAGAACGGCTTATGCCAATCTGGGCCATCTATGGTGCCTTCGTGATGTTAGTCTGGCCGTAAAAGGTCCGATCTACAACGCGTCGGTGAGAGCAGTTTTGCTCTATGCTTGTGAAACCTGGCCTCTCCGAGTTGAGGACGTTAGACGACTCTCTGTGTTCGATCATCGTTGTCTCCGAAGGATTGCTGACATTCAGTGGCAACACCATGTCAGTAATGCAGAGGTTCGGCATCGTGTGTTCGGGCACAGAGATGATAATTCAATTGGTGTCACCATCTTGAAAAACCGACTTCGGTGGCTTGGACATGTTCTCCGAATGTCGTCCTAGAGAATTCCATGTCGTGTATTATTTGCCGACTCTGGGACTGGTTGGAAGAAGCGGAGAGGTGGTCAGTGCATGACACGGTGTCGTGGCATGAAAGAAAGCTGCAAAGGACTGGCTTGTGTTATTCCTTCACGACTCCCTGGTTGGGGTCTGAGAGATGGTGCTACACAGTGGCTAGAGACGTTATCAGATATGGCTCAGAATAGAAGCCAATGGCGATCCTGCTGTAACCTTCTTTTACTTTCTTCATAAAAAGTGGTTGTATCTCCCTTACCTGAAAGATTTCTTCTGATTGTACCTCGTTACTACCACACTACCTCACACCAATCTCTTTGATATTGTTCTCTTTTTCTTTTGCGCTCCTTAGTTTTCTTTCTATTTCTCTTCGCATTCTCATTGTTTTGTGTGGCGCATATATATTGGCGCTCTCTTGTACCAATATTCATGTGTCCAAATACATAAATAAATAACTCTAATCTAATCTCTATCACATTTAATAAATCATTACATTATTATTTAAGGAGAGTTGTAAAAAATTAATGAACTAATCTATTGACAAATTGTTAATCATAGTTACAAAGATTAGTGACAATTACCAAAATTTATCAGTGAATAAATGAAAAACACAGGCTAATTAGTAATCAGTCTGTCAGTCAATTAATCAGTAATCAGTCGCAACGTATAACCTGGAGCGTGTATACATCAGTTCAAGTTGAAATACACCATTAACACAACGAGATAAAAATGTCAGACAAAACAACACAATATTTTAGATAGTAACAGCATGAGTGGTAATACTAACATACGATTCACGAAAATATTAATTGGTCAAATGAAAGGAATGATGAGGAATTCAGAGGTTCAAAAATTGGGGACGACAGAGAACTGATACACTCACACCATTACAAACGATTTCAACGCACACCATTCAACCTCTCTAAACATTGGTTACGATAATCATGTGAACTACAACAAGATAGTCTATACTTGATAAAGATACTCAGTTTATTTGTCAGGGACTTTATGTACTGCTGTCGTATTTTGTTTTGGCCTCCTCCTCCAGTTTTCTTCCATCATACTCTTACCACTAGACAAAATCGAACGTCGAAGTAGGTGGTGGTTTGCCATACTTTTGAATCTGGATCGATATTTCATTAGACGTAGTAGTGTTAACTCTAGAGATACATTTTATGTCAATGTTAAATAACAATGTGTAAAGTGGACAGTCCTGACGAACACCACTTGAAGAGATGAACTCGGATGACAGTTTTGACTTGACCAGTAGTGTTGAAGTAGAGAACCGGCACAAGTTTAATATAATTTTTGGTAGACCTTTCAATAAAAGACATTAACACAGAACTTTAGGATCAACGAAGTTCAGTGCTGGCTATCAAGGAATACAACTAATGTCGGACGTTGAAAAGTATTTTGATTTTTCATAACATGACGAAGGGTGAATATTTGTTCTGTACATTCATTTCTACGTCTAAAACCAGCCTGGACTTCTCGAAGATCGCTTTTCACGAGCTTTAGTTAGACGTCGAAGTATTATTCAAGCTAAGTATAATTTTATGGTACTTGGGTTTAAGGGTGACATCGTTTTATGTATGAAGGTTGCTGATATTAGCAGGCTTTCTATTATCAAATGGAGTGGTATTCGAAAAGTGAAACTCAAGTTTTATAAAAACTATTAAGTCAATCTTCAAATATGCGCAAATTGATACTCTCCGTTAGATGTAAACCAGTTCAACACGATGATCTGATTATTGAAGAAGTTGCCACTCAGCTATTGACCTTTTTGAACGACCAAAGTTATTTACATTGATTGATCGCTATGTATTAGACAATGACATGTTTGCCTAGTCCTCACACCGGTTACGTTGAAAGATGGATGGCTACTGAGTCTAAGTGACTCAACGTTTCGTACACTATAATTTGATGTTAAATGCCTTGAATTATTCATTAGGGAGATTTAGATAGAGGTTTTATGCGAATTATCACACAATGTTAACAAATTTTGACATTAAAAGTAAAGGATAAGTTATATGGAATCCGAAAAGAATATGTGTGAGTGAATGGTAAGAAATGACATAGGTTATTGGAAACACTGACAATAGACATTTTTTCTCAGATATTCAACACTTAGAAACTTAGAAACAGGGATAGAGATTATACTGATTGGTTCGATGTCAGTCAGTCAGTCAGTAACAATGTAGAACTTCGTACGCACGTACATCAGTTCGAGTTGCCATACCACATTAGCACATAGATACAGTTGTCGATTCAAATCCCGTAGTGGCAGAGGCAGTAAGAGTATAAGCTGTAATCCGAAAGATTAAGGTTTGGAGATGTTATTTAAAGAGTATAATCCAGTGAAATAAATTTGGAAAGAGGAAAAAAAGAGACAAGGAGAATTCAGAAGATTAGAATTTGGGAGAACGCAAAGAGTGGATGCACCTGCGCCATTGCAAACGATTTTGAGCCATGTCATTCAGGGTCTCTAACCATCGGTTTCTATCATCTCGTGGTCCCCAACCAAGTAATCTACACCTACCAACATGACTCAGTCCACTTGTCAGTGACCTCATGGACTTGGTTCGATGTAAGATTACGACTATACTAATATTGTAGTATTATGATTTCCAACATTTATCAGTCACGAATGATTCTGTTCTTACTGACTATCATTCGTAAGCGTGAAACAAATGTGACGAAAATGTATTAGGAAGCTAAGAAGTCAAGAGTAAACGCTGGATCTAAGTTTCGTATCAATAAGGCCTATCTGTAATTAATATTAACATCTTACTCGTATCATAGATTAATTACGATCAAAATGAATCAATAGTAATATCTGATTGAGAAGGTGTTCCAATCTCAAAAAGAGTATATATTCCCTCAACGTTACAGGTGCGCCTTGATGACGAGTGCCAACTACAGTTTGCTGACGAACACCCTCAACCAACTAACATTAAAATAAAGTGTATATGATGTTTAGTCACTGAAACTAGTAGCTAAAAAGTACATTAATCGATCAGAACCAAGAATCAGACACACATGAACATTAATTACTCATCAGTGATAAGTTAAGATTAATTGAATGTTAATATGTTCTTATTATCTTATCTACTTGATAAAGAGTGTAATTATTCAATAGAAAGATTGGAAATCTAATTAAAAAGCATAGATCAAATAAAAACTTACTGCACAGCTAAACTTCGTGGATCATTTCCTTGAGTAAAACAAGCAGTCCAAAAATGATGTAACAGCGCACCTTCAGTCAAAGCTAAACTACGTAATTCTTTAGCAACATCTGTTCCACCTTCTTCAATCAATGCACGCATTATCATACCTCCACCACGAACAATAGCTAAGCTTGGATGCTACAATAAAGATTAAATATTGCACGAAACATACATATACAGGGAAATATGGGTTAGTAACTATGATGATAAATTATATGTTATTTTAAGAATGCACAGTAAGTGAGAGCTGTTGACGTACACTGCCAGCCAACATCAAAGTCAGAATCCTCAATACGAAAGTCAACAAAATACGTTCTACTGTACGGGGCTGAAACTTGGAGAACTACCACAACCATCATCAAAAACTATGAGTATTTATAAACAATTGTCTACCATCAGCAACAGCCTACTATGAGAAAGAACAAACCAGGTTTCAGCTGAGGAGGAAATTAGGAAAAGGCGCTAGAGGTGGGTAGGACATAAATTATCGAAATCATCAGTATAAGGTTGTGAAGATTGTTGGGTTTAGATTGATATCATGAATGGATCAATGAATGACCACCATTGAAAACATGGAAGCATTGGAAGGTCGTTTCTTTGAAGTATGGGACTCCTCAATAGTGCACATCCACCATCCCGCACGTGGGCAATCGAATCGAGGAAATTCGGTTTCGCGCGCAAACGCTTAACCTCCAAATCACTGAACCAACCATGATATTGCGCGACCGTCCACCACTGTCATCAGTAAGTAATTGCTTCACAACAGACACGGTTGAACTCCACTGGTCACGGTTTCTCATTAGAATTTCAAGAAATCCATCTTGAAGCTAGTCACTAGTGAGCACATGATGGATGCCGGTTAGGCATTCGCGCGCAAGACTGAAGGTCCTAAGTCCTGGTCTCGCGTGCGGAGTCTTGGATGCGTACTGTTAAGGAGTCCCACATTACGGAGACAATCAAAATATGTCACGATGTAAGCCCTAACTTGGAAATCTGAAGGTGAAAGGAAAAGAGGCAAAAAAAAGAACATATTGTACCGAGAATCGGAAGCAGATACCAAATGAATGAATAGTAACTGGAAAGAAGAGCCGAGAAGAAAGTTGGTTGGAGAATCCAGATCAACGACCTATGCTCCTCCACGAGGAGTAACAGGTATAAGATATTATTATTATTATTATTATTATTATTATTATTATTATTATTATTATTATTATTATTATTATTATTATTATTATTATTATTATCAATATTATGATACAATTCCGATTTAAAAAAAACTTACAAGATATAATCGAAACAATGCACGACCACGATTAGCTAATAAACGTAGTAAATTATCGAATAATCCACCTTCAGATGTTTCAGAATATGGTAAACAAACACCATAAGTAAAGAAGTCTAATAAAGCACAAAGAACTAGTGAACCACTTCCACGTAACTAAAAAATTCAAAGTAAATTTAAACAAAGTAAAAATCATCCAATTTATCGATGTATATGTATTGAAATGAATAGAATAAATCATAAAATCATTCAACAATTGAAATAATTCTATTTAATACACACGAAGTAAAGAAAAAGCTTTATCCCCGAGCTGTATTATATATGACCTTTGGGCACTAGGATCTTCTAGAAAACACTCTAGATTTCGTAACCAAATCAGTAGTTGTCTGATCGAGATAATGAAAACATAGTACATCGTTTTCTAAGGTTATCATGAAGAGTTTTAAATAATGCTGATTGGCTGAAGTATTTTTAGAAATTTTTTTGCGTCTTCTCATGAAGACATTTTCGAGGAATTACGAAGCGTTTTCAACAGTTCTATATCACAATGATGTTTTAGGTAGTGAATGTAGTAATTTAAAATAACATTAACTAAATTATGGTCTAGATGGAATAATCATCACAATTGTACAAATACTACGCTGTCAAGACTGAATACGGAAAAGACCAAATAAAAACTGGTCTTTCTACATGAAAACATGTAACGTTTAGACTATGTGTACGATAAGTCAATGAACTAGTGATGAACTTTGACTGGTTAAGCTCAACTAACATTGAAATTGAAAGATCTATCTTCAATTTCTAACGGATGATGATAGTGATCAGAAGTTTTTTAATACGAACAAAAAGCAGTCATTCATATTAAACCATGGTCAGTAATGGTTGTCTAACTAAAGCCATTCCATGATATCAACTATCTTATAAAACAAACGATCACTGCAAATACTTCAGATTCTAATGAGTGAAACTGGCTATTCAGACTATTGATCTGTTAATCAATCAAACACTAAAACAACTGTTTGTTTTAAACTTAACAAAATGATAGGGTATTCTGTCTTTTATTAGAGGTAACAGACATTAAGATGTATCTAATAATATTTCGTCTTTTTAGATTATCTCAAAGAAAAAACATCATTATTTCGAATGATTCATCATCTTATTCTGTATCAAAATGATACTGCGACTCAAGAACTAGAAGATCGAGTAAATGCATACGAGTCACATCGTCTAACATCTTCACCAGTTAGTCGCAATGATCGTGCGGATCTGAAATGGTTAGTTTGCATCTACAAACATGGTTCAAACTAACAGTCAATGACTTCATGAAATGATTTCATTATTGCTAACATCGAGCATGGATGTAGGCGATGGTTAAGCATATGTAATACGAGTTTCGACTGCTGCAGTTGATAAAGATTCACTACCATATCAACCAATTTGTCATTTTTGTCAAGTAACCTATACCTACGTTTAACATTGCCCACTTGATCGTAGTATGACATATGAGCAATGTTCCGAAGACATTTATGATGAGCAACGTTGGGGATCGTCTGAAATGACGTTACACTTTTTAAAATATATCTACCAGTGAAAAAATTATGATTATAACAATATTATTTCACTGTGTTGAATAAAATAAACTGTAAAGTCTTGATCGGTTGGCGTATTTTACAATCCAACAACATTCATCTCGATTCACTTTCAGATACCAAAATATTCTAAACGGAGAAAAATAAGAACAACTTTGAAGAGACTGTAATATCATTCCAAGTAGAGCAGCTACGTAAGCCATAAGAACATTTTTCAACATACAAAGGACAAGGTTGCTTGTCAATCCTAGAAAAATGACAATGATCTTAAGATAACATAGTCAATAGAATGGTACATGTAAAATGATTCCACTAAACCGACAATTAAGTCCAAGTATAGATATTGCATGATAATCTTTTAAATATATACGAACATCAAAATAACTGATCCCGAATTGTTTACGAGTTTCCACAATTCTCCATTTTAGTAATAATTGATTAGCTACTAGTGAGTATAGTTTCGAGATTAATATATGAGTGCCCACTGAGATTACGTGGCCAGTTGACATTAAAAATATTACACATGATAGGCTGCAAGACTATAGATAAATTACTGGTTTAAATTTACGCATCGTTTCAACGTACCGTATGTATACAGTAGTATGAAGAATTCCTCAGGCAGACGCAATGTCGTGCCGTATACAAGATCAGCGGCGGAACATTGGATATCGGCCTTCAAGCTCGTTCTGATGCCTAAGAGGACAAGCGGTAAGGTTTCGTACCAATTGTCGTTTTCGTGTGCTCGAAGAGCACTTTTACGTTGGCGGTGAAACCTTTCAACTAAACCATTTGAAGCTGGGTGGTAGGCAGTAGTGCGTATGCGTTCCGTACCAAGCAGCCGGGTAAGTGAGGAGAATAGTGCGAACTGGAATTGTTGTCCTCGGTCAGTCGTGACAGTTGAGGGACAACCATACAGAGCTATCCATCGTTCTACGAAGCGGTGAGCAACTGTCTCCGCCGTAATATACGTGATGGGAATAGCTTGGGACCATCTTGTAAAACGGTCGATGCACGTGAGTATATGATTATACCCATGCGATGGTGGCAGTGGTCCTACAATGTCTAAGTGAGCGTGGTCGAAGCGAGCATCAGGCGTAGCGAAAGTGTCAAAGGGGGCGGCTACGTGCCTGTGCACTTTTGATCGTTGACATTGTAAGCATTGCTTCGCCCACATACGAACATCTTTATTCATGGACGGCCAGACGTATCGTGCAGAGATGAAGCGTAATGTAGCTGCGATACCTGGATGAGACAATATATGTAGGGCATGGAATACGAGACGGCGGTAAGCAGAGGGTACGATGGGTCGAGGAAGACCGGTAGAAGTATCGCATAAGATGGTGCCTGAAGTCGTGGCTAGTGGTACTTCGTGATATTGAAGGGACGTAGATTGTGGTGCTTTTGTACAACAGGGATCGTTTGCTTGGGTGGCGGCCACAGCAAGAAGATCGAGCACCGGCAAGGTAACTGCATTCGCTTGGATACGTGACAGAGCATCGGCAACACAGTTCGACTCGCCTTTGATGTGACGAAGGTCTGTCGTGAACTGGGAGATATAGTCCAAATGTCTGCACTCTCGTGGTGAGTAGCGGTCAGACTTGCTATGCAAAGCATACGTTAAGGGCTTACAGTCGGTGAATAAGATAAATTGACGTCCTTCTACTGCGTGCCGAAAATGTTTGGTGGAGCAGTAAGCTGCTAGCAGTTCGCGACCAAAAGCGCTATATCTCGTCTCCGTGGGAGTAAGGCGTCGTGAGAAAAACTCGAGGGGTTGCCAACTACCGGAGATGTTCTGTTGCATAACGGCTCCTATAGCAAAATCAGATGCATCAACCGCTATACTAAGCGTGGCTGATGGGTCGGAATGAGCAAGAAGTGTAACTTGCACCAGAGCTGTTTTGATCTCTGTAAATGCAGTAGGCGTAGTATCGTTCATTTCTAATTTGCGTGGGTTGCCGCGAAGTAAGTCGGTTAGTGGTCGTAACCATTCTGCCGCGTGTGGGATGAAACGACGGTAGAAGTTAACCAAACCGAGAAATGCCTTCAGTTCCTTGAGTGAGGACGGCACGTTGTACTCCATTATTGCACGTACTTTATCCTCACAAGGTAAAACACCTTCTTGTTTAATGATGTGACCCAGAAAAATTATCTCCGACTTGCCTAATTCGCACTTGTCTGGGTTGACTACTATTCCATTATCTGAGAGACGTTGGAATAATAGTGTGAGATGTTGATAATGCTCATCTACGTTTGATGATGTGATTAGCAGGTGAACAAAAACTAGGTCTCGTACTTACTTACTTACTTACTTCGCGGCAACCCACGCAAATTAGAAATGAACGATACTACGCCTACTGCATTTACAGAGATCAAAACAGCTCTGGTGCAAGTTACACTTCTTGCTCATTCCGACCCATCAGCCACGCTTAGTATAGCGGTTGATGCATCTGATTTTGCTATAGGAGCCGTTATGCAACAGAACATCTCCGGTAGTTGGCAACCCCTCGAGTTTTTCTCACGACGCCTTACTCCCACGGAGACGAGATATAGCGCTTTTGGTCGCGAACTGCTAGCAGCTTACTGCTCCACCAAACATTTTCGGCACGCAGTAGAAGGACGTCAATTTATCTTATTCACCGACTGTAAGCCCTTAACGTATGCTTTGCATAGCAAGTCTGACCGCTACTCACCACGAGAGTGCAGACATTTGGACTATATCTCCCAGTTCACGACAGACCTTCGTCACATCAAAGGCGAGTCGAACTGTGTTGCCGATGCTCTGTCACGTATCCAAGCGAATGCAGTTACCTTGCCGGTGCTCGATCTTCTTGCTGTGGCCGCCACCCAAGCAAACGATCCCTGTTGTACAAAAGCACCACAATCTACGTCCCTTCAATATCACGAAGTACCACTAGCCACGACTTCAGGCACCATCTTATGCGATACTTCTACCGGTCTTCCTCGACCCATCGTACCCTCTGCTTACCGCCGTCTCGTATTCCATGCCCTACATATATTGTCTCATCCAGGTATCGCAGCTACATTACGCTTCATCTCTGCACGATACGTCTGGCCGTCCATGAATAAAGATGTTCGTATGTGGGCGAAGCAATGCTTACAATGTCAACGATCAAAAGTGCACAGGCACGTAGCCGCCCCCTTTGACACTTTCGCTACGCCTGATGCTCGCTTCGACCACGCTCACTTAGACATTGTAGGACCACTGCCACCATCGCATGGGTATAATCATATACTCACGTGCATCGACCGTTTTACAAGATGGTCCCAAGCTATTCCCATCACGTATATTACGGCGGAGACAGTTGCTCACCGCTTCGTAGAACGATGGATAGCTCTGTATGGTTGTCCCTCAACTGTCACGACTGACCGAGGACAACAATTCCAGTTCGCACTATTCTCCTCACTTACCCGGCTGCTTGGTACGGAACGCATACGCACTACTGCCTACCACCCAGCTTCAAATGGTTTAGTTGAAAGGTTTCACCGCCAACGTAAAAGTGCTCTTCGAGCACACGAAAACGACAATTGGTACGAAACCTTACCGCTTGTCCTCTTAGGCATCAGAACGAGCTTGAAGGCCGATATCCAATGTTCCGCCGCTGATCTTGTATACGGCACGACATTGCGTCTGGCTGGAAAATTCTTCACACCACAGAGCAGTAATGATTTCGGTAAGTGAGACTACGTTCAGCGACTGTCTGCATTTATGCGAACGCTGCATACGGTGTCAACTCGAATACAACATCGACAGGTCGCTCTCTCTCGAGAGTTAACCACATGTTCACATGTTTTCATACGAGTGGATTCGGTACACGAACCTTTGCAACAATGGTATATCTATTCATGATTTATGCACATTATGATTCAAGTTGCTAAATGAATCTTCCTACTCATTTAATTCTTTGGATTTACACAACAGGTTCGACATTAGGAAGTATATATTGTAACTGCATCGGACTTCAAAATAAAACAAGAAATGAAGATGTTACCATGACATACCTCTAAGTAACTGATGATTCAGAGCAGTATCATCAAAGATTAACTAGTTACAATGATCATGCGGATCTTAATCAAGTAGTTTGGAACTATAAACATGGCTTAGACTAACAGTCCATTACTTAATGAACGCATGTCAAATTTTGATTTCGCTACCCCTAGCTTTAATTACACTTGCTCCAACGTCGTGCCTTGAGGCAAGTGGTTGTTGTGGATAAGTACAACATTTCCCAACTTTTACAATCAATGAATATCTATAAACTTATCAACCGATTAACTTTTTTCACTCAGTACAATTACTTAATAGTAATAATAAAACAAATTGATGAGAAACAACAATAACAATGGTAAAATACTTACAGCATGTAATGTGAATATATCAACAAGATGAGATAGAAATATTTCACTAGACATGATAGATGCTTTATTCAATTGTTCTTGTCTAATATCTGGTTGATCATGCATTGGATGCATTAAAGTATTAATAGCATCTAAGACAGAATGTGTGACAGCATCATCACGTAGTTTTAATGCATTCACTACAAGTTGACCTAATGTTACACGCATTCTATATAGATGAACAAAAGAAATGAATTAAAAATTATCAACATTATCATAATCGTTATATATTACATGTACGTAAATACAGTTAGCAACTGGATAGTTAAGGAGTACGACTTTCAACTACTAAGTCACACTAACTATTTTGGTTTGAGTAACCGGGTAGCATAGTTAGTTCTTACAATCACTCAGTGGCTCATACCCAAGTATTTAGTGAATAAACTAACTTTTCAAAATAAAAAAGAAGCAAAATCACACAATTCACAATGCTACTTTGAAGTCAGTCAGTCACAACGTATAACCGAATGCGTGTATACATTGTTGGGGATGTTAGATCCTCAGAACTCACTTGGTAAATGCCTTAATTTTGTAATTTTATTTAGAAAATTTGAATTTTTTTTGTTTTCGCGCCATACCTCTCTTTTCACCTTCATGTCGTATTTCCCACTTTGGAAAATCTTTAACACTATTGGTCCGTTGTGTATTTTAGTATGTTATTTTTGCAACGCTTCCCAAGTACAGTTTTATGCTGTATATATACGTTTGATTTGTGTCTGATATTATTCACTCGTGCTTCTGGCTTTTTGCGGAATATACTCTCCCGCTCCAAGCTTTGATTTCTCACTCTAGTTAGCGGGGCTGGGACGCATCAGAACATCTAGCTGATTGGTCTTCGGTCACAAGTCTTTGTTCCGTTCGCATACTAAGTGAACTCGTAATAGCTTCAAACCTAGCATACATCAAGCCTCTAGGTTCTGTAATCTATCCCTGACAAGATCACAAGTAGGTACTGCTGAAGGGCCCGATATTGGGACGAAACGGCTATCTTGCACTGTATGATTATTCAACGATCACTTCACTAAAAGTCCAGTCCATGATTTAGACCACATACTAAACAATCACCAAAACATCCCCGAATAAATAATACAGAAAATAAAAATAAATCAATAATTTAACGCTTTTATTTCTTAACAACCAAAAACACATAAAACTAACCCCGGTAATTGAGTGAAAGCATTAAATCCCGCTTTTGATGCAACCAGTCGACGTAATGCATGAAATTGTGCTTCAATTAAAATTAATTCGTAATTAGGATTAGTGGTAGTAGTGGTATTATTATTAGTAGTATTATTATCAGTAGTATAATGTAAAGATGATGATGATGATCGTCTAATAGATGTTAAAGGATTTGCATCAATTATACGTGTATCTTGTGTAAGAATACAAACCAATGCATCTTTGATTAGTTTCTCTTTATTTTCTGCAAAAACACCCTGAAAATAAGTTAGAACAGGATTTTTTTGAATAACAACAAAATTAGATAAAGAAAACCATAACTTTGAGATATAATCTATCAGATACCATATCTAGCATAGAGATACTATTAAATAAAATTTAAACAAATATGTAATATTCAGTACAGGGTTGTGGAGATTGTTGAGTTTTTATTGAGATCATGAACTGATCAATGCTAAGCCACCACTGAAAACCTCGAAGCACTAGATGGCTGGTTCATCCTAGTATAGGACTCTTTAGCAGTGCACGTCTACGCATTTGCACAAGACGGAAGGTCCTGGGTTCGTGTCCTGCGTGCAGGATCATGGGTGTGCAATGTTGAGGATTCTCATACTAGGACGAAGCGGGCGTCCAATGATTCAAAGTTTTTAATGATTTTCTAACAGTGTTCGGTTCATGAACTCAATAAAAATGTACTATAGATAGTTGTTTCGTTCTAGTATGAGACAATTAAAAAAAAAGCAACTAATGCTCAGTATTGACTTAATTCGTTATAATGAAGTTCGGATGGGGAGTTGTGGTCAATAGAGGTTAAGACATGTGAAGAATAAAACAATCGTCGCTAATGACACTGAATGAACGTCATATTAATTCGTGAACTCATTAAACCTACAAAATTATATCATCAGAGTGAGATTTGAGAGTTTTACACTCCATGGCTAACGAAGTCGTGAGTATTAACTGAGGACCTTTATTCTTATCATAGAAAGGCGTACCAAAATTACTTTAAACACGTACAGGTTCTCAACTGTAATACTACTGGTCAAGTCAAAACTCATCCGAGTTCATCTCTTCAAGTGGTGTTCGTCAGGACTGTCCACTTTACCCATTCTTATTTAACATTGACATAAAATGTATCTCTAGAGTTAACACTACTACGATCTGACATTTGAGAGGTTGTTCTCCCAACACAAGATCCACTTGTTGACTTGGAATACGCAGATAATGTAGTTGTGGTTAGTGAAGTCGCTGACAAAATGTAGAGTCTTCTGTCCACCTTAAGCAACAATCCGAGCATGTTTGGGATGTGATTCTCTCCCTCCAAATGTAAAATCTAGCTACAGTATTGATTGGTTTGCATCAGCGTCTAGATTAATGATAGGGAATGAAGTAGTTGAGTGTGTCGATCTGTTCACTGATCTTGTGAGTTTCATCAATCCTGACGGTCTAGTGTCTGATGAAATATCAACCCAGATTCAAAAGGATGGCAAACCACCACCTACTTCGATGTTCGATTTTGTCTAGTGGTAAGAGTATGATGGAAGAAAACTGGAGGAGGAGGCCAAAACAAAATACGACACCAGTACATAAAGTCCCTGACAAATAAACTGAGTATCTTTATCAAGTATAGACTATCTTGTTGTAGTTCACATGATTATCGTAACCAATGTTTAGAGAGGTTGAATGGTGTGCGTTGAAATCGTTTGTAATGGTGTGAGTGTATCAGTTCTCTGTCGTCCCCAATTTTTGAACCTCTGAATTCCTCATCATTCCTTTCATTTGACCAATTAATATTTTCGTGAATCGTATGTTAGTATTACCACTCATGCTGTTACTATCTAAAATATTGTGTTGTTTTGTCTGACATTTTTATCTCGTTGTGTTAATGGTGTATTTCAACTTGAACTGATGTATACACGTGTTCGGTTATACGTTATGACTGACTGATTGCTTACTATGTCTTATTAGTAGTCAAATAGAGGTCCATTGAGGATGGATATCATCTACAAATTAAACTGATCTCCACAAACCCCACAAAAGTAATTTGCTTGAACTCTTCCTCTGTTATAGCATTCACTGATAACGAGTTAGAAATAGTCGTACTCTGTCGAACAAATGTGAATGTTATCATCAGGAGTCAGTTTAATGTTACAACTATTAAACTGACTGATAACATTACTGACATGGTTGAATAGGCAGAATCTATAATCCACTCATGTAGTGAATTATTGAAAATCACCTAACCGCTTAGTTACGAATTCTCTTATGATTGCAAATATATCGTACCGACGAAGAAATCTACATCTAGGGCTTTATGTTGATCGCTTGAACTACGTAAGCTGACGAGTATGTCTCCTCTGTCGTTAAATCCAATGAACTAAAATACTGAAAAAAAATATGAAGATGGATAAATACTATAAAAAATATGCATGTTAACCAAACATTTCCTCTTACGTCTTGAGTAACGGCATGTAATAAACCACTGTAGGCAATGTTAGCATTGAAACGTTGTACTACTTCCCAAAATGAAACACCGTCTATAAAAAGCCAAACGAAAAAAAACTAGCATAAATCACTGGAAGATAATCAAGAGGGATTTTACTTAGTTAGGAAAGTTTATCTTTATCCTATGAATTATGTTATAAAAGAAAACACTAAATGTTTTAGTACGGGTGAGCATTTATTGCCTGATCCAAAGGAGTCTTATTCACAGTCTTCATGTTCCCTAAAATGCTTCCAATAAGAATGATAGAACGAAAGTGATCGTTCGGTGCCTAGATGGCGTTGGTGGGTAGTAAGTAGTAGGGATTTAGAAAATTCTGATTCTAAATCAACAGTGTACATGAGCTTTAAGTTCTAGAAAGAATAAATGTCTCGAAAACTTACTCTGATCATCGGTTACAGAAGAATTACCTCAGTGAACCTTGCCTCACTGTCTTATGGACTAGACTAAGTCAAAGGGTTAGGGATGATTTATTGTGCTTAGGTTGTGTCCCAGACCATCTACATTTGATTATGAATACTATTGAAGAAAACGAAGAACATGGACTACTAAGCCCAATACTTATATAAACAATAAGTAACTCAGATGAAATAGCTAATTACAATGCAAAAATTTACTATACTACGATAATAGGACTGGATAAGATGATCGAGTTCATAATACCGCTAGATTGGCGACTTGAACAATCCTGTATACATAGACTAGATCTAGTCATAACATATAACCGATTCACTAACAAGAATAGAGAACCACAGTAAAGCTAAACAACACTTGATTTCACACAATTAGAATCAGTCACTTTCGGTGAATTCGGAGTAGAAATCAATAAAACGAAAAGAAATAACATATTTAATAGTCGATAATTTGAGTACCTGTTTGTGCTTACTCAGTGAACAATCATTTACTTTCATTACCATAAAACTGATGGCTAAATGTAGCAGATAGAAAACTCTCATAATTGTAAGTATGCTTTGTGGACAAGTACGAACTAGCGTGAAACCTAGACAGGGTTTCCTATCGACTGATTCCAATCACCTAATATCAATACACATCACAGGCTATGTCAAATTACCGGGATCAGTGACTAAATTACAACTAGATAGACAGAAATTTGATCAACATTAAAAAAGAATTAGATAAACATAACATTAGTCAATATTCATCAGTGATCAATTAATTGTTTACATATAATTTGTATTAGTATATGCATGCATATATATAGATATATCATGTACCTGGACGTTGACGTAAAAATCTTAAATGTACTGATTCAACTTCTTCAGTTGCTGAATTCATTAATGGAATAAAACGTAAACTTCGATCAGAGAATGAACTGGACACATAAACATCACGATTACCACTGGCACGTACACCGTCTAACAATGATGCTAACAGAGCATCTCTAACGCGCGCGCGCACACACACACACACACACACAAAATAAGGGGGATTTAGAAGTAGAAGAGAAAGATAAACAATTAATCATTTAAACATAAAATAATATTTAAATTAGTCTATTTAGCAATATTTGAAGTAAAAGAACCCCTAAATGCCCTAGTAAGGTCGAGAAAGGGGAGAGTTCACTCTCCCTCTCCAAATGCTCTCATGGCCACGCATATACAACCAATATCAGGGAAGTCCTATTCACTACCTTCTCGAGGTAGGGGTGCTGTTTACAAAATTGAGAGAACGAAAGGCGAATGTCCTGTATTTATCCGGGTTGGTGGACACCAAGAGTCCACCTAGGGGAGTTGGAAAACCTTGATTCTAAAACCTATGGTAAATATGGGATCCAGGATCCTGAAGGAACAAATGGCGTATGAACCTACTGTTGGTTACCAGCTAACATGGGACTGCATCCACTGCCATGTGGATTAGACTCGGGAGTGATCCCCTAAGAAAACCATCTACTTCTGTTTGCGCACCTACCTGGGCAATATCACAACCCTCACACAAATTAGTGATAACCACTATTGGCCTCATTGTTCCTGTGTGGCGCATATGCATTTGGTGCCCCCTTGTACCAATCTTTATGTGTCCAAATAAATAAATAGTAAATAGCGAAATTAACCACATACTTTCCAGGTATTGATGTTTACATAAGTGAATTTATTCAATTTCTACATTATTACTAATTATAAATTGATTATATATTATTATATAATGACGAGAAGTGAAATGTAAGACCCATGTTTCATTTTGTTCAAAACTCATTAGCCGAGATCTTACCTACATTCCAGTATTGATGTTTACATTGAAATTTGAACTCAATAACTATCACTTTAAACATCGATGCATTATCCACTAAACTACTAAGTTCAAATAGTCACTAACTTATTCAAAAGGTAAGAATTCATTTGTGAAGGGTATGAAGTTTCTCATAATCAGTGTTAAGAACTTCAATTGATATATTTTTAAAAAATTTTTTTGAATGAACATGAGAAGATAAAACTGATTACCTTAAAATTGGATAAAGAATACGTGTCCGAGAACTTATAGCGCATTCCAAACGAAATTGTACATGCATTTTGTGGTTGATCCACTACTAGGCTACATTGTTAATTTATTAATCACTGTAATATATTTCTAGTTCATGATAACTTCAAGTTCAAAGCTTCCTTTATCTACTTCATTTTCACATATATCTACATAGTACTTATTACTCTAACGTTTATAGAAACAATCAAATGTCAAACAGGAATAAATAAACTTGAAATTGGTAAATGAGTTACACATGTATTCATCTTTTCAATTATTAAGAACAAGATGATGAATGGGGTGAAAATCTCTTTTATGAAATAATTGCATTCGTTGAATTGTTCAGTAGGATTAATTGTAAGTACCTGGTCAGTATTGTAACAGAAATAATAATAATAATAATAATAATAATAATAATAATAATAATAATAATAAAATGCTGTGGTACAATTTACCTGTTAGTGGAAAAATATGTAGCAATTTGTCCACGAACATATTCAATAGAAAATCTTTGTGGTTGAAAACGATCACGAACAAGTAAATGTATCTATATGAAAAACAATAATAAATTATACATAGTTAGTGTAGTCAAAGTTTTAAAATATAAACATAAGCTTACTTTAGTGACTAATTTCAAGATAAGTTATAGAGATTCTACTTTTTAAAAAATTGTTCGGAACGTTAGATCCTCAGAACTCACTTGGAAAAAGACCTAGATTTGTAATTTTATTTAGAAAATTTGAATTTCTTTGTTTTCGCGCCAAAAGCTCTCTTTTCACCTTCATATCGTATTACCCAGTTGAGAGAATCTTTATTTGTCCGTTGTCTTTTAGTATGCTATTTTGTAACCCATCCCAAGGACGGTTCTGGGCTGTATATATACTTTTTGATTTGTATCTGTTGTTATCGCTCGTGCTTCTGATTTTTTGCAGAATATACTTCCCCGTTCGGACTTCGACCTCTCTCTCTCTCTCTCTAGTTAGCGGGGCTGGGACGCAATAGAATAGCTAGTTTATTAGTCTTTGGTCATAAGTCTTTGTTCAGTTCGCAGACTAAGTGAACTCGTAATCGCTTCAAACCTATCAAAAATGTAACTAATGGAGTTCCCAACAATGTTGTGAGACATTGAAAGATGATGATCACGCTATATCACGAATCATTTAGATTTAGGAAATGAAGATTATCGAATGTACATTTATCGGTTTAAAAATAATCTATTCACTACAAAAGCTGATTGTAATGGATGTTGCTAGATTTCAAGTGATACTATAGATAGACAATATCGAAGGAGTCAGTCACAAATTAGGGTAAAACAACTGTCTAATTCTTCTTGAGTTGAAAATGGTTATATCCAAAAGGAGTTAGTCTATTTTTAATGGATTTATGTTCTCTGAACTGGATGGTTTGATCATGGAGATTTCATCGTTCTTCTGAACGACATCATCAGCATAAACTTCGGGTAGAAATGAAGTGTTCCAGTTAGTTTGTGAAAAAAATTTATCTCATAATTACATTAATATCATCAATTAGCCCATCAAACAACAAAATACAACAAGTCACAGAGTTTTATCTTATTAAGTACAAGTCAACTGTTTCTATCACAGCCTTCTAACAGTCTATTGTATATTTGAGCAATCAATTAGAAACACCATAACATCTAGTACAAACGTAGGTTATTCCAAAATTCCACTCTTCGTATTCATACAGCGATGAAGGAAGTTAACAAGGTGAGAATAAAAATATGTAAAGTAGGAATAATCTTGTTTAAAAAAAATGAATCTTATTGAAAAATGAAACACTTGGAATGAAAGTTCAATAATTAAAGAACTTACTTCACATAATGGATGAGCAGAAACTGGACGATAACTAGTTGGATCTCTTTCTAATAACAATGATTCAGTTAGACACATTAAACGAGAAACTGTTTTCATTTGATTCGTAGCACCATAACGATTAGATAATTTTTGTACAGTGAATTCAGCTTGAGAAATTAAATGATCTTGACTGTACAAAGAATAGAAAATGAGTAATAAAGAATTTAACAAAACAATATTAAATAGTGAATGAGAAAAACTTGTTTTAAACACCACATTAAAGCATTACATGACATATTTGGAAGTTACTTACTTACTTACGCCTGTTACTCCTAATGGAGCATAGGCCGCCGACCAGCATTCTCCAACTCACTCTGTCCTGGGCGTTCCTTTCTAATTCCATCCATTTCTTGTTCACTTTTCTCATGTCAATCTCCATTTCCCGGCGTAATGTGTTCTTTGGTCTTCCTCTTCTCCTTTGATCTTGTGGATTCCATGTGAGTCCTTGCCTTGTGATACAGTTGGGTGCTTTCTTCAATGTGTGTCCTATCTACTTCCAGTGCTTCTTCATGATTTATTCCTCCACTGCGATCTGGTTTGTTCTCTCCCACAGTAGGTTGCTGCTAATAGTGTCTGGCCAACGGATCCGAAGTATTTTGCATAGACAACTGTTAATAAACACTTGTATCTTCTGGATGATGGCTTTCGTAGTTCTCCAGGTTTCCGTCCCATATAGTAGAACTGTCTTCACATTTGTATTGAAAATTCTGACTTTGGTGTTGGTTGACAGACAGTTGTTTTGAGTTCCAGATGTTCTTCAATTGTAGATATGCTACTCTTGCTTTGCCGATCCGCGCCTTCACATCCGCATCAGATCAATGATGCTGCCTAGATATGTAAAGGTTTTCACATCTTCCAAATCTTCTCCGTCAAGTGTGATTCGATAAGTGCATGTTGCGTTGCATCGAAGAATATTGCTTTTCCCTTTGTGTATGTTGAGACCTACTGCTGCCAAGGTTGCTGCTACACCGGCCGACTTGGTCGATAGGATCCGATCTGCACTAAGAAGGACCTGACATACATGACACTTATCACCGCCCAGTGATTAAACAATTGTCAACAAACGTTTCCTAATCACCTTTGGTTTTCTCACGCAATCATCTAGTTAGATACCCATACAAGAAGAGCATATATAAGTAGCAGACTAGGCGGACCGTGCCACATAACAGAAAACACATTTTAAAAACATGCAATGAAAAGGAACAAATAGTTTTATTACTAATACACCTACTTGACTTTCCCCAGTCTATATTCTGTGCAGTAATCACGTGTCAATGGACTCGACGGTTGACTAAATGATACAGAGAGATTGGAATGGGCAGATTTGTTAACCTCTTTGATTAAATTATCCGGTTCACGCGTAAGGAATATATGCTATGATGAAAAGATGAGTGAAACTATTACCAATGAAGAATGCTGATGAAAATAAAGTACTGAGTTTATCAAGTGTTTTGATGGATTATTAATTCGATCACTTAGTTTCCAACGTATAGATCGTAAATTGGAACCCGGTATCTTTTAATTTGGTTTAAGAAATCGGACAGTGTCACGATGACCCCTTACATAAACAGAATGAGAACAACACATATAAGCGAACAATTGTTTTCAATTAGATCGTCATATTCATATATATTCATGTATATTAGAGTAAAGCCTGATGACGATCTAATTGAAAAAAATTGTTCGCTTATATGTGTTGTTCTAATTTTCACAATGGGAATCTTTAATATTCTATAAACAGAATGACCCAAAGTTGAGTTCACACATTCGTTTTTAATCTAAGAACAGTACTATAATGACAATAATAATATTGAATCTAAAATAGGTAGGAATCGAAATAAAAAACAGTGTATGAACTGCTTTAACTTATATCTTGACAAGTGAAGGGGTCATCGGTAACTCTTGATTACTTTGAAGAAGAATTATTTCACAGTGTTATGTACATAAAGTTTCAATTGTAAACAATGTTTTTGATGATGACAATGAATGATGTTCATTTGGATTTCATGATTCTTTTTTCTGTTACGGATACTGTCAGTTGATGAATATCAGAGTCTATTAAACCAAAGTAATAAGCTTCCTAACTGTTGATTCGTGTACCCAGTTTGGAGTCATACATTATATATATGGGTTTAGCTTTTGGAGCAGCGCGATATCCGTCTGCTGACCAAAGAGTAAGTATACTGTGCAGCGGCTCGTTCTGTATTATTCTGTTGTTGTGCAATATGATCTATAATCGCATTAGGGATATGTATGCTGCAGGTTTGTGATATTGAGTGTCTTCCGAGCATCGCTGGAGCAAATGAGTGGCCAATAATCAGGTTAGGTATATATATATAGGTACCCAGTAAAAATGGCTAGTCGAAATACAAAGATTTTAGTTAAGTTAAATCAGGCTTTGTTTAACAGATCCACCAAAGAGTAAGTCAGTTATTGTCAACAGAGAACCAGGTTCAAATTCTCACATGCCAACACCAGTAAAGTAGAGGAGAATCGACAAACTGATGGTCGAAAGTTTAAGAGCTCACTGCAAGAACCAAAGTTCATGAGATAGATTTTTTTTAGGAAGATGGATGAGCACTGCCAAAGAGTCACATACTAGAATAAAACAGTTGTTTAGTGCTTCCTAGTCTTTAGTAGTTTTCTGACTAAGCTTAGCCCGTGATGCAAACGAAAAAGAAATTAAATGTGCAATAAATAAACAAAGATTGACTTACAATATGTCCAAACCCACCGTGAATAATTGCTACTCCATTCGAAGTATCATTTATCTGTGATAAGCAGTAAAAATAAGTAAACAAATGATTTGAATTTAATAACGCACTCTAATTAATAGAATGTTGTTTTGAAAAACAGGAAATATGCTTTGATTGGAATCATACAAAAATTGTAAGCTACTTTTATCGTTGAACGGATTAAATGAACCAAATCACTGACAGATATACAAATAATGTAGGGGAATTTGTGAAGGTAGCAGAATTTTCACAGTTTAAATCACGAACTGATCTTATTTAGACCACCATTAAAAACCTGTAAGCACTGGGCGGCCGTTTCATCCTAGTAAGAGACTCCTCAGCAGTGCGCATCCATGATTTTGCATCAGATATGGGAGGTCCTGGGCTCGATTCCCGCGTGCGGGTTCGCGGGTGGGCACTGCTAAGGAGGTTCATACTAAGAAGAAACGGCCGTCCAGTGCTTACAGGTTTCTAATGGTGGTTGAGTTAAGATCAGTCCATGATTTCAACTGAAAGATGTACAAATAATGGAAGCCACAAAATAAACTACTTCCAAATCATGAGGCTTTTATACATCGGTTTGTTCAAAATACTATCAGGTCAAGATATGAACATGATCGACTTACATGACTGTCTTATTAAATATTTATCTAAACACAAACACTGGTACTAGACACCAAAATTCGCTTTTTGTTCTCTCAATTTCGTGAATAACACCACCGCCATGAGAAGGCAGTGAGTAGAATTCAGTCTGGTTCATCTTGAGCAGATAAGACTGTAATTGAAGCGGTAGTTTAGTAGGTGAAGTTTTCAATTTCTATTCACTGATTTCTAGGTTTGATCTTCACTTCATCTACTTTGAAGATTAATACAAGAACAATGTATTTGGGTTACATAGCGGCGCTATATTCCATTTATTCTATGAATCCATATCACTTTTCTTATCTTACTCACACGAACACAACACTAGCAAGTAATGCTTGATATGAAAGTTTCTGGGATAAAATATGCTAAATATGTTCAAAGACTCATTTAATCATGATATCAACTATACCCAAAAGAGACATTTCCAAATCTCATTATTATTTACCGTTGTCGAACTGTATGGAAACAGCTAGTCGGAGAAAATAATTACCAAACATTAAAAGTTGTCAAAAATCACTAGATCAAATATTACAAACACAAAAAGTACTCTGAGCATAATAGTGTTTCATACAAGACCTTACATAAGCCAAACTCACAACGTGAAGGCTTCAAAGAAGATTATTCAAATAGGATTTTTATATATCTAGATTGAAAGTGTATATCACATTACCACTCGAATTCCTACAGATATATGAACATTTCAACTATTTCTAATGACTTACAATACACAAACACAAACACACAGAGAGAGAGAGAGACACACACAAAAAGAGTAATTAATGATAACTTACTTTACTAATGCATTCAATATCTTTAAAATCATAAGTTTTCCATAATTCACCAGTACGTGGATTACGTACATCAATTGAAATTGGACCAATATCCAAGATTACATCATATGTTGATTCTGACCAACTAACTTTAGTAGCATGTATTCGCTTTCAATAAAAGAATAATTTAAAATAACTGTTGTTAAATGGGAAATATAACACTTCAGTTACTGTTTTATAATCACTAATAAAAAGTGGAATAAATGACTATATTGACTAGTTTATATGAATTGAATGAGAAGGAGTAATATGTATGTATATATGTAACTCATTCTAAGATATTTTAATGCAACTTCCTATATTGATTAGAAATAGTATATTCGAACGACGGATAAAGGAATGATAACTTTCAAGACTCATTTTATGGACTACTGTTTATATATATATTCTGGCTTTTGATTGACACATTAACTACTGTTGTATGATTTACTATTCTTAATCTGTTGCCAGTTTGTTATTCACAGTGTTCCCTACTCACACCCAGTTTTGGCACATTCATTTATAACTATGATTTTTTATTTTATGGTATGTGATGTGGTTTGATATGCCTGTACATAAACTGTCTTCTTGAAATATAATATGATAGAATGCAAGCTGGTTAATGAGTGTAAAACTCAGACGGGTAAGGCATAGAGAGAAAGCTATCAAGTTGTAGATCAATAGAAACTTAATAACTGAATCAAGGTTACTAGTGCTAATTGGAGGTGTAATTGGTTTAATTCAGAGATAATAAGTTAGATAAAACGGTAGTCTGACTGGTGGTTTCATCACATGATATAAGTCAGCAGCTATAAGTCACAATAAGAAAGATTACAATGAATGAAATAACATGATGATTATATCAAATCATCCATTTGGTTGTGTACATGAATTTGAAAGTTAAATGCTTAAAAATTTCAAGTAATTCAACTTGAAACTGAATATAAATGAAATTTATCTTTCCCTACAACACAATGATTCTCTTTCTATTTGCATTTTAACTTGTTGTTTTTTTCTTCTACCGTCACTTAAACCCTCACTCCCGTCCCCGTCTCACTATTCTAGATGGAAAACAATCTTTAACTATCAGCCAGTCAGTCAGCTACAACGTAGGACCAGGCACATATACGCATCGGTCCAAGTTGCCATACCTCATTATCACAAGATAAACAACAGATCTATAGAAGCAGTTACTTCAATGGTAGTAACATATAAAAGAAAGATTGTATTTAAGGATATATATATCGTACAGGAAGAAAGAATTAGTTGGTAGAAAGAAATGTAGAAAGTAATTTTAATCTCATAGTTTAAGGGAAGACAAAGAGTGTATACACCTACACCATTGTGGTCGATTCTCAGACATGTCACACAGAGTCTCCAATCATTGATTAGGATAGTCACGCAGACCCCAACCAAGAAGTCCTCGTCCACCAATATGGCTCAGACTATAAGTTAGTGACTTCAAGCATTGATGCCACGTTTTGGATTGGCCGCTCCTAACTTTCTTCCAACCATTCCCAACACTAGTCAGCATTGCGCGTCTTGGTAATCGGTGTTCAGACATACGTAGCACGTGACCCGACCACCTCAGTCGATTAAGATTCACAACCTCATTAACTGATTTACTATCATTCCCTAATACCCCGCGTCTCGCCTCACTATTACTCACCCGGTGATCCCAGTAGATGCTGGCAATATTTCTAAGGCATCTGTGGTCAAGTTCTAGCAGCCTACAAGTATCTTCTACTCTTAACGGTCACGTTTCTCAGCCGAAAAGTAAAACAGAACGAACTGTTGCGCAGTATATTCGTCCTTTTATTGATAGACGGATATCTCTCCTTCGCCATAGGTGACGTAAGTTGGCAAAAGCCAAACGAGCTTTTCGAATCCGTGCTGAGATTTCGTCAGACACCAACCCATTTGGGATGATCAGACTTCCAAGATAAGTGAAGTTGTCAACGCGTTCGACTGCTTGACTCGCTGTCCTTAGTTCAGGCGTTGACGCAGGTCATTTCTGAAGCAATGTCTTGCATTTAGAGGGAGAGAAGTGCGTAAGAACTCTGTAATTTATGCATTGAATAACAAAAATTGATTGTCCCCTACTTGGGTTCTTATTCGTAACAAAACTATAAGATATAATTAAAATGATGATTAACAAGAAATCGATTAATTTACTCAAAATATACACATTTAGGGTTAATATTGAATAATGACTTTAAAAAAAATTAGCGCTTAACTAATTGTCAACGTGAAATTCAGTTTCATAATAATGTAGACAGGTATTTCAGTCAATCAGTCAGTCAGTCAGTAACAAAGTAGAACCTCGTACGTACGTACATCAGTTCGAGTTGCCATACCACATTAGCACAGACATGCAGTTGTCGATTCAAATCCCATACTGATAGAGGTAGTAAGAGTATAAGCAGTAATCGAAAAGATCAGGGTTTGAAGATGTTATTCAAGGAGTATAATCCAGTGAAATAAATTTGGAAAGAGAAAAAAGAAAGGGACATGAAGAATTCAGAAGATTAGAATTTGGGAGAACAGAAAGAGTGGATGCAACTGCGTCATTGCAAACAATTTTGAGCCATGTCATTCAGGGTCTCTAACCATAGGTTGCTATCATTTCACGGACAGGTATTTACATAACCGAAAGCAACGTTTGTTTCGTTTTACTGTCATAGATGGTAAACTAATAATAATAATAGTACAATAAGACTGTATTTGTTATGCATCTCTTCATAAAAATCCTATACTAATTCTCTTGTCGAAATCTTACCATGAACATAGGACGTGTATTCTTTTGAAATAAACATTATCATTAGTCTATTGACTATCGTAGTGTCTAATATGTTATTCTATGCAATAATTTACAAAACTATTTACGAATTAATGTATACATCAATGAAATGTAAAGGAATATTAACTCCCAAAACAATCCCCAGTGTCTTCTAAGATTTATTGCTCATGTATGCGTTTAGAACAATTAAAATATCATTGTTGAACATCATTGATGAACAGGGTGGATCTGATGCACATGTGAAGGTGTGGATCGGCAAAGCAAGAGTAGCATATTTACAACTGAGGAACATTTGGAACTCAAAGCAACTGTCAACCAACACCAAGGTCAGAATTTTCAATACAAATGTGAAGACAGTTCTACTGTATGGGGCAGAAACCTGGAGAACTACGAAAACCATCGTCCAAAAAATACAGGTGTTTATTAACAGTTGTCTACGCAAAATACTTCGGATCCGTTGGCCGGACACTATCAGCAACAACCTACTATGAGAGAGAACAAAGCATATTCCAGAGGAGGAAGAAATCAGGAAGAAACGCTGGAAGTGGATAGGACACACATTGAGGAAAGCACCCAACTGCGTCACAAGACAAGCCCTCACATGTAATCCTCAAGGCCAAAGGAGAAGAGCAAGACCAAAAAACACATTACGCCGGGAAATGGAAATAGGCATGAGAAAAATGAACAATAATTGGATAGAACTAGAAAAGAAGGCCCAGGACAGAGTGGGTTGGAGAATGCTGGTCTGCGGCCTATGCTCCATTAGGAGTAACAGGCGTAAGTAAGTAAGTTATATACAATAACAGTAAGCTTACCACATTTGATTTACTTCCTTTGATAAATTTATCCCGAAAATGCTAAAAAAAAAAGTGTACGAAAGAATGAAAAGTGAATATTGTTCCAGCAGTAATATGAATCAACAGTGTAAATAATAATAATAATAATAATTTTTCCGATATATAACAACTACAGATTCATTATAAGGAATGGTCAATATACGAATTACCATAGCTACATCCTATTTGATCAGAAAGTGAAACTTAATTACAGATTCATTTACTTGATTATGAACCAGATTATTTGAGTGTATGTCGTTGTGATGATTAACGATATACTAACCAAGTAAAGCGGATTAGTATATAACAGCTTTTAATCAATAAGTCATATGTTTGAACTCCACTTTATCTACTTTGATTTAAATAACCGAGTGATATCATTATTCTTCATGTAAACCGTATAACTTTTAAAGCCCAGTATATAAACTTATACTTGATAAATGAATAAGTTATTTCGTCTGATAAATTGAATGTTGTTTGGAATACTGTATACCAGTGATTCAAATACTAAGCGATTGTATTTCAAATTTACATAAACAATGTTACATTTCTGAAAATGTTATCTTGAATACAGAAATAAACTTATTTCCAAATTTGGAAGTTAGAGATTCTAAATACATTAAGAAGTCTTCATATTCAAGTCATCTTTGATTTAAAAAACTCTCTATTTTAAAGATCACAAATTTTATCAAAAAGGGTTTTGTGGAGATTTCAGAAATTTCAGTAGTTGAAATCATGAGTCAATTGAAGCTAGACCAACATGGAAAACCTGGAAGCACTGGACGGCCGTTTCGTCCTATTGTGAGACTACCTCATCAGTGCGCACCCACGATCCCCCCTCGCAAGATTCGAACCCAGGACCTATCAGTCTCGCGCTCGAGCGCTTAACCATTAGACCACTGAGCCGGCCGGCATCCAATGGTGTTAATGTCTAACTTCAACCAATCCACAGAATTGCGCCACCGTACACCGTTGCCTTCAGTGAGCTGATATCTCACAACAGACTGGGTTGAACTCCAATGGTTACGGCTTCTCACTAGGACTCCAGGAAGTACCTCTTGAAGTCCGTCACTAGTGAACAGATGATTATTATCAGAAGGGGTTCGAATCTCGAGGGGGGCGGGATCGTGGATGCGCACTGATGAGAAGTACCATACTAGGACGAAAAGATCGTGCAGTGCTTCCAGGTTTCCCATGGTGGCCTAGCTTCAATTGATCACAAATTTGTTCAGTTTGTGTTTGTCAATATCAACAAACAAATCAAACTAATTTAGGTTATTTTATAGTTTACCTTAAAGATTGTTTGTAGTTAGATAACTTTCCTTTGTATATTACCATCACTGAATTAATTACTTCTATGAATCCGGTATTCATCTTGTTGTGCTAATGAGGTATGGCAAATTGGACCGAAGCACATATGCGCTTAGTACTACGTTGTAGTTGACTGTCTAACTGAGACAACTATTGAAGACCAGAAAACAATCGATAACTTATTTGTTCTAGTATAGAACTCGTGATTTTTATTGATTACTTAGTTACAGATAGTTTGTAATGTACAAATCTCCTTATACTCTAAATTGATTTAAGATGATCAATGTTACTATTTATCGACTATGATGTGATATAAGTTCGATATTAAGAAAAAATTATTAACTCTCAAATAGAAGGTAAGACTTAAAGATAAGTACAAAAGACTATATTTGTTGAATGAGTTACAGCCTATATTATGGACCCTGCTTCGGTTCGGGCAGCAGGGCAGTATCCCAACCCTTACACAAATTGAATGATTTATGTGGCGTACACCCATTTGGTACCTTCTATATTATTGACACAGTTCATTTGTTATTCATTTCTTAAACAATGAGAATAATTAAGGTGTAACGCCTACGAAGATATTAAATTTCTTGTTAGTTAATCTAACCAATTTATCAAGTAGCATATTCATTACAAATACAGATGAAATTCAATTTTACAGAGTGATTAAATAAAATGCAAAGAGATGTAATAGCATTCAATTACTAACCATAAGTTAGTTAGTTATAACCCTGTTTCATTTAACTCAATTTACGAAGCTAACAATCGCACATAAAGATTTTATTCATTTATTTACTTTTTACACACATAAACATTGGTACAAGGAGGCGCCAAACAGATATACGCTACATAAGTCATTCAATTTATGTGAGAGCTGAGATACTGCCCGAGTGCCCAAACCGACGCATGTGGTTTTCTTAAGGGGCCACACCTAGAGCCTTTGACCTAAAGGTATAATCCACAAGGCAGTGGAGCAACACCAGGAGATGCAGTCCCATGGTAGCCGGTAACCAACAATAGGTTCATACGCCATTTGTTTCCTTAGGATCCTGGAGGTCATGTGCACCAATGGTTTGGAATAAGGGTTCTCCAACTCCCCTAGGTGGGTCCTCCGTATTTACCAACCCGGTTTAAGCGTCAGACACTCGCTTTTCGTCCTCTCAATTTCGTAAACAACACCTTCGCCATGAGAAGGTAGTGAGTAGGACTTCCCTGGTAGTGGTTGTATGTACGTGGCCATGTGAGAGCATATGAAGAGGAAGAGTTGACTCTCCCCACTCTTGGCTGTAACAGGGCATTTGAGGACATTTAAAAAATGCATGACTTATGAATACAGTGGTCTTGAGTGCTGTTAGAGGTGTGAGGGTGGGTATCACTTCCCGGTTGCCCACACTGTGGAAGGGTTCTTCTTGGAGGTACCTGAAAAGGAAATTGGATTAGAGGTGGTCTTAGTGACCTGAGAGCGTGACCGCAGTGCCCAAGGGACAACTGCGAGAGGTCGGTCACACACAACCATTTTTATGGGTAATTTTTGTGTTAGCTCCGTACTTGTTGAGACCTTACCGCCGGAGACCGATATCTGTGGGATAAGGCGAGGTGTGCATTTTTAGGGTCGACCTTTTCTAACCCCACCCCTCCTTGTGGGAAGGCAGTATCGCTGTCATGCTGGTTGTCTGAAGGAAACACCTTACTGCTGTCACACCCCTGTACAGTCAGCAGTACGACTTCGCCTTCGGACCTTAGGTTTGTTGCTTTTAGTCTTACCGCTCTTCAACCGACCTGTCTGACATGGTAGGACCTTGAGGAACGGTTGCTTCAGCCAGTATAGCTCGGTTGCTTCATCGCGATAGGCAAGCCCGACCACCACGTCAAGGTAGCAACAACGGTCGGGCATGACTTATAGCCGATAATCAAAGCAGGTACTTGATATGATATACATATATGCAAATTATTTACATTTATTACAACAGTGTATATGTAAAACGGAATGTAAACAATGATAGAAAGAAAAACAAGTTTTTTTATTTTAGAAAACAAAAGATGAATAAATTCTTACCAATAAATCAGTTAATAATTCAACACGAAATTCCGTAGCAAATGTTAATTCATGACGTTTACGATTAGTGTCTAATATATCCAAAATGAAACGTTTAAGCTGTGGTTGATTTGACTTGATATTATGATCTATTTTAATCTCGTAGATTTCTTCATAGGTCCACTGTTATGATTTGTGATTGTTTTACAAATACAAATGATAAGTTTAGAAGAGAGAAAGAGTATTTATTTTTCTATGTAAACCGATAGTAACTATGAATAAATCAGTGAAAAACCAGAAAGTATTCATCGTTTGTTTCATCATGGTTTCAGGTTTTACGGAAGATAATGCTTATTGATAGAACTCATTTATTGAGCTAGTGATACTACTTAGTTAATCAAATCCAAGTAGATAGGATGAAACTCGAATCTGTAATCTAGTGGTTGAAAGTTAAACTCTTAACCCATTGACCCATTTTTAAAACTCTAAATTCTCAGAATATCATGCACATATGAACTTGATTGATTTCAGGACTTTCGCAACTAGGCAAGAGTTATATTCAAGACTAATAATTGGAGAATCCAATTTCAATCAATTCATGAAATTGTGCGTTGTCAAATATTAGTGATGATACGTATTTGACTACTGAGAAGCAATTCAAGAACTACTGAGTATTTCGCAAATGATTATTCACTTTACCGAGTCGCTTGGAGATAGTGTCCTACAGAATTCCAAAAGAAGTGACTAGACGTATATTCTTTTTTTCAAACAAACCTTATATCTTTCAATGCAAAATGGTTTAGTATGACTTAGCAATCAGGTACAGATTGATGAAATTGGCATTAGGCTATGTATTATTGAAAGATGGATAGTGGCTAGTAGTGGAATCCAGGACGCCCGTTTTGTCCTATTTGGGACTCGTCAGCTAGATTTACCTGAGTCCCAGAGTTTATTTCCACTCCAGGACTCGAACCCAGTACCGTTCGCTTCAAACACCATCGTGTTATCCACTTAGCTACTGAGTCCTGATAGCCACCTGCTTGTGCAATGGGGTGGAGTTTGAATTCACTCGGTGTTGTTTTGCTTGTATCTTCGCATTGTTGTTTCGGAATGCATCAACTCTGGGATGCAGGTACATCCATCTGACGAGTCCCGAATAGGACGAAACGCGCGTCCTGGATTCCACTGCTAACTACTATCCGTCTTTGCTTAAAAAGCTTGTGACTTAAGGCTACATCGAGGCAATCCGCACAGGATGCACATATGCCAAAATGAGACTGATCAATTGCAGTCCTACATAACAATGGGAAGATACAAATAAAACAACAACAACAACAAGTGAATTTATATATTATTGAGTTTAAAAGTTGTTAGAAGAGAAATGAGGTTATGTTTGATAAATTAAACACTGTAAAAAGCATATCTATTGACGTTCATTAACAATCAGATTATCACAGCAGCTTTTCCAAATTACCATGTTTCAGATGATGGAACAACACTTCAACCTAAATCACATCCACATATTTAGACAAACATGTTAAGGGAGAATACTTGTAATCCTCTTTGAAATACGTGCTGATGTTCGATATAATAAAGGAAGCCTCACAATAAATCTATCCAACTCATATATTATAAAACCTCCAATAAGTGTTAATGCTAATTAATACATTTTCGTACTTGATATAAATGCATTAATCATCCCAAAAGGTTAGAAAGAAAGATTGGTTACGTGTCAATTATTAAACAGCATACTTAATAGAGAAAAAAAGATCTTTAGAATCAAGTAAAATCACTGATAACTTAAAATAGAATACTTGAGGACAACAGAACACAAAACTCCATACTGTTAGATGTCTTGAGTGCTGTTAAAAACTCCATGAACTAACAGAAAATAGATTTTGCGTAAACTGATTACCTGGTTTGTCACTCTTAAAGTATCCTTGTTGTATGTTGTTACACCAAGAGTGCCGATTGTGAAAAGACGTTTGTAACTGGACATGAAAAGGTTAAATTACAAAAAATAAAATGAATAACTTTATTTTACAAGTAATAGGGACTTTATTAGCATAGTCTGACCCACAAGAGTTATTCTATTATCAAGAAAGTATAGAAAATTGCAATGTCCATATCGTCAACAACAAAAAAATACCGAACCATGAATATTGCAATCAGCTACGTTTTGAACACAACCTTTCTAAACTAATTCAGAATAGCCTCCTGAAATAATGAGAAATACAAACTCAACGAAAACTAATTATTATGCTATCTATTTTCCAAATATTGCTCATTCACTAGGTACTTATGAATGTGTAACACCAAGTGACGACGAATGATACTATCCAGTTACCCAAACCAAAATACTTGAAGTATGATTCGAAATTGATTTTTATTGCTCGAAAGTTTAGCACGTTAAAGACCAGGACACAAATGTACTATAGAAACCAACACATTTTTAGTCCGAATGGAAATTCTAGTTCATTTCCAAAAGATAACAATGTACTATGCGTTTGTTGTATATAATAATCATAAACATGACCACCAAACAATAAAAATACATGCATTTATGAATAAAATGTTCGACTATAGTGGCGTGATGAAATAAGATGTCAGTTTTTGTAGTCAAAAACCAAACTTTCATGTACCTTCTGAGGCGTTAACTTCTACCAAGCAAGTGTTTAATGGTTTAGTCTTTTGAATGTTAACTATTCGGTTAGAAGTTTCATCCCTTTCGTTTATATGAAATCAGGTACAACTACGTGCCCAAAATAATATGCACTACAGAAGATAAAATTTGGTTTAAGTAGCTTTTTAGCGTCACTAGTCACCTATCACACATGATGTGATTCCGAGTAGACTACATACAAGTCAGCTTTAAAAAAAGTTACTAGTAAAGCGTAATCAAATGTAGAAAGACTGCAACTTTGCGTTATACGTTTGAAGTGTGGATTTATGTGGTAATGGCTACACTTGAGAAATTATTGCGCCAAGTACACATTGCTTAAGTGGATTCCCAAGCTGTTATTATTGTTTCCAAAAGGTAAGTAACAATAAACGTGAATTCAGGCCGCAAAACTAAATTGTCACAGCTAGATGAGACAGTAGTACATATGATCATGATGAAGAGCGAAAACAAATCAGATCTAGGTTAAGAAAAAGTCTAAGGAACGACCGTGAGCAGTGGTGGGTAACGAAAGCAAAAGAGATGGAAAAGGCGGCGACTATAGGGAACACAAGACAGCTTTACAGACTAATAAAAGAAACTGGAATTAATAAGTCAAGTGTAAGTGAGATTATTTCGGAAAAAGATGATACTCTCATCTGCTCCCAGTCCAGGCGTTTAGAACGATGGGCGGAACATTTTAGAGAACAGTTCAGCTGGCCTTCAGCTACTGTACAACTACCCTCTATTCCCAGACAGTGTGAATGGAACATTGAAGTAGGTCCCCCAACTCTTGCTGAAGTTCAAAAGGCTATAGTTAATCTGAAACGAGGAAGGGCAGCTGGTCCAGATGGATTGGCTCCAGAGGTCTTTAAGGATGGTGGCCCAATTTTAGCGATTAAGTTGACTAATATTTTAGCTAAGATCTGGGAATTAGACTTTATCCCATCTGACTGGTCGCAATCACTTATCGTCCCAATATATAAGAAAGGGTCAAAATCATCCTGTGACAACCACAGAGGGATTAGTTTAACAAACATAGTATCTAAAATACTGGCCTCGATAATTATCAAACGCCTAACTAAGACTCGTGAACTACAAACTCGAGAGAACCAAGCTGGCTTTAGACCTGGTCGTGGCTGCATCGACCACATATTCACCATTCGTCAGGTTCTAGAACACAGGCATACCTATCGGCGTCCGACGATGGTGGTCTTTCTTGACTTAAAAGCAGCATTTGATTCTGTAGACCGCGAGACTCTGTGGCAGTGTCTGTCATTGAAAGGCGTACCTCAGAAGTACATAAACCTTGTGAAGGCTCTTTACTCGAACACTACTAGTCGAGTCAGAGCTTATGGCGAACTGTCATCTACTTTTGCAACTTCAAGTGGTGTCCGTTAAGGCTGTCCACTTTCTCCATTTTTGTTTAACTTCATCATAGACCTATTGATGGAAATAACACTCTCGTCGACTGAATTCTCGGGTATTGATCTCCTTCCAGGAGGTCCACTTATCGACTTAGAATACGCAGATGACATAGTCCTGTTTGGTGAAGACGCTGACAAAATGCAGAGTCTTCTGGTAGCACTAAACAACAATGCCAGAATGTTTGGGATGCGCTTCTCTCCCTCTAAATGCAAGTTGTTGCTTCAGGACTGGTCTGCGTCAACACCTGAACTAAGGATAGGGAGTGAAGTAGTCGAACGCGTCGACAACTTCACTTATCTTGGAAGTCTGATCAGCCCTAATGGGTTGGTGTCTGACGAAATCTCAGCACGGATTCGAAAAGCTCGTTTGGCTTTTGCCAACTTACGTCACCTTTGGCGGAGGCAAGATATCCGTCTATCAATAAAAGGACGGGTATACTGCGCGGCAGTCCGTTCTGTTTTAATTTACGGCAGCGAAACATGGCCTTTAAGAGTGGAAGACACCCGTAAGCTACTAGTATTTGACCACAGATGCCTTAGAAATATTGCTGGCATCTGCTGGGATCACCGGGTAAGTAATAGTGAGGTTAGACGCAGGGTATTAGGGAATGATGGTAAATCAGTTGATGAGGTTATGAATCTTCATCGACTGAGATGGTTGGGCCACGTATTACGTATGCCTGAACACCGATTACCACGACGTGCAATGCTAACCGGTGTAGGGGATGGTTGGAAGAAAGTTAGGGGCGGCCAAACCAAAACGTGCCATCAGTGCCTGAAGTCACTAACTTCTAGTCTGAGCCATGTTGGTAGATGCAGACTACTTGGTTGGGGTCCGCGTGACTTTCGTAACCAATGGTTGGAGACTCTTGGTGACATGGCTCAGAATCGATCACAATGGCGTCGGTGTATACACTCCCTGTCTTCCCTTAAACTAAGAGATTAAAATCACTTCATATCTTTCTTTCTACGAACTAATTCTTTCTTCCTATACTATATCCTTATTGCAACCTTTGACCTAACCACTCCTATGAATCCGGTGTTCATCTTGCTGTGCTAATGAGGTATGGCAACCTGGACCGATGCACATATGTGCCTGGTCCTACGTTGTAGCTGACTGACTGACTGACTGATCATGGAAAAGATTAAATGCAAAGAAAATGGTTTAAGAAGAAACGAATTTGCAGACTTGATTAATCAAGTGATATTGGCACGCAAAATTTGGGAGAAAATAATTAATGCATAAATCTAAGTCACCGCAACTAATTTTGATTTGTGAAACCTGGCGTTTTCAACCACAGAAAATGATTACTAGGCTGAGAACAACCACAATGTCCTAGCCTTCAACTGAATTAGAAAACGGTATAGTTCTATTTGGTAAAGCTGACAAAATGTGGTCTTCTAGCTACTTTAAACAATAATGCATGGATGTTCGAGATATTATCTCCCTTTAAATGAAAATAGCACTTGCAGAATAGGGAAGCTAGCCATTCGCTAATTTGAGAACGAGTATATTGTGCAGCAGTTTGTTTTGTCCCACCTTATGGATATAAAATGTGGTATTTGTAAATAAGGGATATTTGCCAGTCACTAGTATTTGATCATATATGCCATCGAAGGATTATTTTTATATGTTGAGAACAGTGGTCACTGGGAAGGGATCGCAAATCGGTTGATGATGCAGTAAAGCATTAACGACGGAGGCTATTGAGACAAGTAATACGTGAGAACGGTCATCAATGACTCCGGCGAGAGATAAAGGGCGATGCAGAAGTAGGTTGGAAGTTAGGGGCACCCAAACCAAGATATGCCATCAGCCCATGAGGACACTGATTGATGAGCTGAACCCCCTATTTGGGGTCTGATCGATTATTGTAACCAATGGTGATATGGCCCATAATTATTCGTGATGGAGTAAATTCTAAAACTAATTTACCCCACTAATTCATATTTTCTCGAATCATGTTCTCTATGCCATCTTTCAGATCACCACTCTACTACTCTACGATATGCTCTCACAATCTCATCTCTCTGTGCTACTGGGTTGTAGCAACTTGAAGGGACTAAAACACAATGTAAATTTCACGCGGTTGAATTTAGACTGTTACTGCTGTAATTGATACCTACGCTTAATCTGGTTGTAAGGAATACGAAATTTGGATTGCGATAGAGTAAGTACTTATTTTACCAGATTACTGACAAAATCTTGTCATAAAAGAAAAGAAGACTGCTCATATTGTACTCCTTAACCGATATTATAGATGGCAGTGTTGATGCACTCATTTTCTCCATTTGGAGTCAGATATATTGCATTTGTTCTGTTAAACAAAATCGGAAATAAGTTATCTGCACAACCGTTCGGCATCATCATAAGTCAACAAATGCTAATTACTTATAATTCAGTTATCAATGATAAGTCATAAAAACATGTTGTTTGGTCGGGAAGAGTGGAGGTCTTAAAACTATCGGGCTGAACCTTATATCAATTTACAAAGACAATAACTTTCTGTCTGACAATCTTAGAAGAGCATCTTGGTTAGATAATAACGTCATAAGAGCTGAAAATAATATGAAATTTCCCGGCTCGTTTGATATTTTCTAGAACACCTATATCCAAAAAAGATTTTAACTACGATTATCCCCAAAACAATAGTAATCTACTATACTGACTTAACAAAATTTTCCAAGAAATCAAAGTAAGCTAAGAAATTTAACCTAAGAAAGCTGAGCTTTGTTCGAACATACGATATGCTTGCAGAACCACAGTTCCTCAGATGATCAGCTTATCCTGCGACGAAAGATTTCAAATGTCACGTACTGTATTTTGTCTTTTACTAGGCAAGCTAACATACTAAAAATATCGTGAGTAAAAAAATGGTCTAAGAGACCTATTTATCTCTTTATTTAATTCATAATAGAACAGTCTGAAGGATATAGAATAAACATCTGGGAGACAAGATAGATCTACGTCATTTCGAATCGTTAGTTCCTTTGCAAACTGCTTGAGAACTGAACCCGCCAGAAATTTCTGGTCATCAAGTAATCAACCCATAAGAAAATTGTACACAAATATTCCAAAAATCGACTTTTAAAGGCACTTTATCCCCCTTAATTCACTTAAAATCAGAAAGGGATTTATAAGGGGTCTAAAAGAGTACAAACATGTGGAAGTTACAAGGGAAAACTAAAGCCAAATTGGTAAACTTACTTCCCCTTCCAAGACATCTTCGTCAAAAGATAACATGATACTTCACGGTTCTTACTCATACATGCTCGTCGCATGTCGCTTGGCTAAATAAAATATTATGGAATTAGTTTTTCTAAATGATAAAAGGAAAAAAGAGGCAACTGCGAAACTAACCATATTTCACTTGAACTCAGGTACAGACCAAAACCAAAAGAGGTGTCGGAGCACTTGAAGGTCAGATCTCCGTAACGTAATTGGTGGGTTAAACTGGTCAGTGAGATACATTTACAAAGCGGCCAAGTCAATATTTTGAGATACCGGCGACTGCCGTCCTTGAAGTAACCAATCAGAATCCAGTCCGCTATAGCATGTTAGAAATAACCTGTATTAAACTGTGGTACGGATAATGGAACAATAACTTCATGTAGGGAAATGGTGTTGAAAGACTACACAGGAAACTCTTACTGTAACCAGTGTTTCTTAATGGCTTCATACCCATACATTCAGTATTTTTGATCTGATATATGACTTCAGGGACAGTTTGATACCAGATTCGACAACACCAAATAAGTCCACAAATCATAATTTTGGCAGTTCGAGATATGTAATGGAAAGTAAAAATAAGTCCATTGTACTTCAGTCGAAGCCATACCCCAGTGACCGCAAATAAAGTGCCTCGCTAAATACCATAGAGAATAAAATTGCTATGAAATACTTGCTTAACATAACCTGTCTTTGACTGAGTAATTAGATCAGTCTGTAGAGAAGTTCGACCACATTTTGGCTTCGTTCACTGATAGAAACATGTATAGCAGACTTGGTAATTTTCTAAAGTACTGAGAGCCCTTTCTCCACTCATATAAGCATGCAGCAAATGAGGATGGATTAAATCATGTCCACTGGTGCCATGACACTTATGATAAGTCTTTCGGAAGTTGCAGGAAATTTTAAATATTCCCTAACCTCAAATCTTCCCCCATGACGACACTTTCGGGAACTCCTCAGCCGGTACGCGTCAGTCGCAACCGTATCCTGTAGATATAGCCATTTGTTATACATCATGAGTATGGGGACGAAGGTTTTCTATCTCGACAACAGTGGCGCAGAGATTAACGTCCTTCCCACACATACTAACTGTCGTCCACAATATCTGGTATTCAATTAACTGGTGGCAAACGGAATATCGATCAACGCTTACTGTTAAATGTTCATATACCTTAACATAAGATTGCGCGAATCCATCAACTAGCTTTTGTTGTTGCAGATGTACTAATATCAATCATCGGCATAGATGCACTAGAACACTATGACGAAAGAAATACATTGTCTGTTTATGAAGTTTCAACTGGCTCTTCTAGGACTACCACCGTTCCCACGCCCACACAAGGGAAGAGGGTTGGACGTGAGATTGACAACCGCATCCCGTAGAAAACAACCCTGCAAAGAATACGCTAGCGAGAATAAATAATTTAAACTATTTAAACTCTGTCCCGGGAGTTGAATGAAGAATTATTACCCCTTATGATGAAAGCCGAAATTTGTCCGAAGTCATGCCGCTTCCAAAAACCAGAGCAACAATCTTCAAGAGTATATGTAACTTCCGGAAAATGTGTGAGATCGGAAGGACCATTCAAATCGCAAGGGAGATGGGGAAATACAACTTGGCAGTGCTGGGAATCAGCGAAACTTATTGGACCCAAGCTGGACAGAAAATGTTAGATACAGAAGTGATGCTACTGTAATCCGGTCACTAAGAGGAAAATGCTCCACACACTCAAGGAGTTGCTCTGATACTTATGGGATAGGAATCTCACGGATCCAGGATCATCAAAGCATCCTTCAAAACAAAAAGAGAGGAAATCACAATGAATGTTATCCGATGTTATGAACCCACCAACGATAGCAATGACAATGATAAAGATCAGTTCTACGAGAGGCTGTAACCAATCATGGTGAAATGCCCAAGAAAGGACCTCACTATCCTGATGGGAGATCTAAATGTCAAAGTCGAAATGAACGACAGTGGATATGAGGATATCATGGGACAACATGGAATGATCGGGAGAAAGAAACGAAAATGGGGGAGATTTGCAAATCTACGTGCAATCAACAACTTGGTTATAGGCGGCACAATATTTCTACGCAAACACAGACACAAAGCAACATGGGTCTCACCGGACCACACCACGAAGAACTAGGCAGATCATATTTATATCATTGAAAAATTCACAATATCAGTGGAAGACATGAGGACCGGGAGAGGAGCTGACATAGCTTCAGATCACGTGATTGTGGAAAAGATGAAACCGAAGCTATGGAAGCACTGGACAAGTGAACAAACAGACTTCCTTCAACATACTGACTAACTCAAAGTAACCCTCGACAACAGGTTCACAGCCTTACAGGATCTATTGAAAGAAGACAACACTACAAAGGAGAATAACTGGAAATGGGTCAAAAAAGCATTAAATTTAACGCGTCAGGAGGTGCTGGGCCTAAAGAAGCATCATCATAAGGAATGGATCTCTATAGAAACTATGGACAAGACTCAAGGAAGAAAGAATAAACAGATAAAAATTAACAACAGCCGAACAAGAACATCGAAAGTCAAAGCACAAATTGGATATACAGAAGCAAGCAAGCAAGTGAAGTGGAGCCTTATAACCGACAAGCAAAAATATGTGGAAGAACCAGCAACAACGGCGAGGAAAATCTGCAAGAGAAGGGAATGTGGAATTATGTGACATGACGAAGAAACCAGCAGGGAAACAAAGTAAACCAAAGACCAGTCAAGGACATTGAAGCCAAGCAAATCACTGGAATTCAAGGACAGAGGAACAGACAGGCGGAACACTGTGAAGAGCTCTCGAATAGACCAGCTCCGTTGAATCCACCGGATATCGTAGCAGCACACACAGACTTTTCTAAACATGTCACCTCACCAACGATCAAAGAAATCATGACGGCTATCAGACAACTCAAGAGTGAGATAATATACCGGCCGAAGCACTCAAGTTAGACATAGAGGCTATCGTACACCTGAACCATATTCTATTCAGGAAGACTTGGGAGGAGGAACCAGCGCTACCGACAGACTGGAAAGAAGGATACCTCATCAACGCACCAAAGGAAGATCTTAGAAAATGTGAGAACTACAGAAGCATCGCATTACTGCTAATATCAGGAAATGTTTTCTTTTCGAAGATATCATTTACTTCAGTTGTACATTCTTATATATACTTATGTGAAAAATATACGTCTATAGGGGGTAGAAAAGATTGCATCATAAATTGATTTGAAACTAAATATCCAATGAGGTTGCGTACTAATCAAGGGGTAAGGAAGAAAAAAATTCATAGGTCAGATGTGAAGAAAAACGACAAACTTAAGGTCATAATAGTAAACTGAATAGCAATGAAGCAAAGTTGTAATAATAATAACTGAATAAATTTAAAAATTGCAAAACAATAGTTTAAAAAATTCAGTAATAATCAAATAAAAGCGCAGAAGAGAAAAAAACAAAGACTCGCTGAAATCTTTTTTCTTGTTCAATGACGCCAAGGATTATTTTAATTGCCAGGAAAGGTTTTCAATAGAGTGTTGTTGAATCGGATGAACGATTCCGTAGAGGTCCAGCCTCGAGATCAACAAGCCGGGTTCCGCAAAGATCGGTCGTGCACAGACCGGATCGCGACACTGCGGATCATCGATATACAATCAATCAAATGGAACTCGTAACTATACATCAACTTCCTTGACAATGAGAAAGCATTTGACAGTGTGTACAGGAAAACACTATGGAAACTTCTTCGACACTATGATATACCTGAGAAAATGATCAACATCATCCGGAATTCATGAAACAGACTACACTGCAAAGTCGTGCATGAAGAACAAATGACAGACGCACTCCACGTGAGGACGAGTTTAAGACAAAGCTGCTTACTCTCCTCCTTTCTCTTTCTTCTGGTGGTTGACTGGACTATGAAAACCTTTACGTCGATGAGAAAACACAGAGTATAATAAAGAGCTCGGAGTCAACTAGACGGTTCGGACGGTTCAGATGACCTAGCCCTTCCATTTTATACACACCAACAAATGCAGATGAAAACATTTAGTGTGGCCGCAGCCTATGGAACTGTAGACCTCGAGGTACACAAGGGAAAAAAGATCCTAAAATACAAAACGGTGAGTAGTGACCTTGCTACTACTTCAAAAAGAAGACATTGAGCTTTAGTAAGAACTATATTCGACAGCTGATTTTTCAAACATCGACTTGATTGAAGCGTATAACCAAACCCCATTGCTGCCGACGACATCCGTAATCCACTAACATTATCTCCTTCGGACCCTACGAGTTTTTGCGCATGCCCTTTGGTTTAAGAAATGTTACACATCTTACAGGGATTCAGCGAGGACGCCCTTCGAGGTCTGAACTCCATAAACGCATATATAGATGAATGCTTGTCCAAACAGAGAAGCTCATCTCCAATATCTAAACCTTGATGTCGAACGACTACAAAAACGCAACACTGCCGTAAATATTCAGACATATCGAATCGGAACCGACTCCACAGATTTTCTCGGACACACTATTGATGCTCAATGAATCCAGTCACTAAAAAGCAAGGCAGTGGTAAATCCGGATTATCCAGAACCCACCAAAGTCAAGTAACTACGGACGTTCAACAGCTTGGTAAGTTTCTGTCGATGTCTTATACCGAATGGCGCGTCGCTTGTGAAACCATCACCAATTTGGACGACGACGCCAAAAATGAACCCTTAGCAGTTGGGGAACTTATCGCAAAAGCAACCGTATTCGCAAGCCAGGACATCAAAGCACCCATCAGTATCGCGGTAAACACACCCTACTTGGCAATCTGGATGATCTTACAACAATGGGTGAACAGTTGTGGTGTTTGTATGAACTCATGATTTCTTTGTACTTGATGACTGTCTGATTTCGAATTCCAAATACAATACCTTCTTCCGTACTCACCTAGTTCTTATTGGTCTAAACCACAGTGTTTCTGGGATTCTTAGTATGTACAATAATTTAGAAACTTCTAGTTATCACAACAGCACTTGGCACCTTTTAGGACTCTTCTCGAGACGGTTGCGAGACACTGAATCGAGGTGAAGCACTTTCGCTAGGGAACTCTTAACCATATATTGTT